GTTGTGATTCTGCCAATGAGGAATAGTTATTTTTTTAATGACATCATTCTGAGGTTGATTAAGAACTGGAGGGATAAATGAGTTGTTCAAATTAGCCAATGGTAGGTCAGGAAAGGGCTCGATTCTTGCACAGTTTGGGATTTTTTCTTGTAAAACAGCTGATAGCCAAGGTAAGACCCAAGTGGTACATTGCCAATCACAGTGTTGATAAGTGAAGATGCCTCTTGATCACTTAGCAAATACGAGAAAGGGGGTGGCTTGAGACTTTTGGCAAGCTCGTTGCACATATTTAGAACTATTTCTGGTTTCCAGCCCATCTTTTTAATCCTTTTTGACCTTGCATCGTATAGTTTGCAGCTTACTGGAGGCCTTTTCCTTTTACCACCTTGATCAGTGGCAGCTTGAGCATAGCTACACTTCATCACAGGTTCAGGCTCTATTCGATCCCCTCGGGGAACACTCCAAGCTTGAGGCAAGCTACTGCAAGTCTTATCTGCAGGGATTTCTCCTGAATTAAGAAGGCTCCAGTGAGTTAACAGGTACAACAGGGCAAACATGTGATGACAATGGCCTCCAGCTCTACCAGAAATAAGAAATAACCTACATTTAATACTCGCAACACAACACGTTAATTTTGACACCTTTAATGCTCTGAAAAACTTTTCATAAGTCCTACCAGTAATTATGGTTAGACAAACTAAAAGCCATTCAACTACACGTTGCTCAGAATATGATATGTTTAATTTTACCTACCCAGCCTTACAGGAACAAGAGGTTTCCAACACTTTTGCATCTCCGTTGTTACCCCTTCCGCATTTTAGAGACAACTTGTGAGGTTCCTCGTTTTTTTCGCTGACTTCGAAAGCACAACGCAGATTGTTTTTTGGTCCAATCTGAATCTTTTCTTTCACTACGTGCGCTAACACCACTCTGAGACGCCATTTTTGTTATTGTTTACCCATTACAGACCACGTGACCTCAACGCAAAAAAGATCTATTTGTCCACCCTCTACTTTCTTCATTGTTGCTAAGGTTCAGACTGTCTTAGACAACTTAGTGTAAAACTCGTGAATCTCTTTGATTTTGTGGGAACTGGTTATGTTTGTCAAGCTTTCTGAGTCCCTAATTAAGGCCTTATGAACCTTAATGTCTTTTCCAAAGGTCATTTTAAGGATCTTCTTAGCTTCATGATATCCTTCGGGCGTGTGGGGCAGCCCAAGAATGTGCTCTTTTGGTTCTTCCTCAACTAGTTCTAACAAGTAATTGAATTTACTTATCTCAGAGATGTTTGTGCTATCCTCTTCCACAACGAGCTAGTTCCAAAATCGAAGCCAGTCTTTACAGTCTCCCTTGAAAGGTGCTATCATATATTTCTGCAGTTTAACCGCTTGAGGTTTGCTTATCTTTTGTGTAGCGTTCTTCTCTTTGAGTGCCATTTCCAACTCAAACTTCTTATGAAACCAGTCTTCTTCTTGCTTGTGTATTTTTTTTTTCTCTTAATTATCCAATGCCTGCTTGAGCTTATTCCTTAGCTCATGCACTGGTGCTAACTCTTATTTACAAACATGTGCCCAAACTCTCACCTCTTCGAGACTCATTTCTGCATCCATCATGGCATCCTTTATGTGGTCTGCCGAATTCTCAAGGCTTTTACAAATCCCACAAATTTTCTTGTACGCCAACAGCAAATCTTCTTTTACCTCCGTATTCATGTTTTCTTTTATCTCCTGGACATAGTAGGTCGCCTTTTTCCATTCCTTAGCGTAGTTCTTCTCGGCTTTGGCTTTATCCACCATATTTGTAGAATTTGTCACTGGATTAGTCGATAGCTTTGTTATTCATTTCCCACAAGATTCTTGCACTCTCGCTCACATGTATCGCTGTCCTGGCAGGGTCGCCACTTTTGGTGTGGGAACCAAAATTCCGTTTTCCAGAGACACCAAATAACTCACTTTAGTTTCTCGAATTGAAGGTTTAATCTTCACAAAATGTTGTATACAACTCAAAATCTCTCCCCTCTCAAAACGTCACCGATGCGTATTTTCCACGGGGTACGTAATTTGAACCGAGGCTCACAAAATTTCAAAACGAGGTTGTCAATCACAAAAGTCACGCAACTCAAAAAAAAAAAAAACAGTCGCGACAGGCTTACCGGAGATGTAATTTCCAACATTTTGGGAAACAAATTAGTTGATTAAACCACAAAATTTGGTTAACAAAAAATGACCTGCATGTGGGCATAATGAAGCATAAAATGGAGTCTAATACAGTTGAAAGCCAACTCACTCATAAAACATGACAGACACACTCTGGAGTGCCAACCTTTGGGCCATTTATAGTTATTGCCAAGAGTGCCTGAAGCATCTCAATGGACAGCCTGTTCCTCAGGTCTTGCCGAAGCAAGAGAGGATGGGTAGGACAGCATTTAAGATGTAGATGACTCCAAGGAATTTTGCTGTGTTGACTTTGCTGAGGAGACCAGATGCTACAGCGTCTTCATCCTTGAGCTGTCTCAGTGTCTGTTGAACTGCAAGGTAGTCAATGAAAATGCCAGAGGTAGCAGCATGAAAAGAAAGCCATCTTGTTTGACACGCTTTTTTCAGCTTTTTACCAACAATTTTCTTGGCTTTGTCTAACAGATTGACAGACTTGATTTCAAGTTGAACTTTCAAGTAAAGGGCCATCCGCTTTGGTGAATTTTCCCACCACGACAGCAGCTCCATTAGAAGCTAAGGTGCTCAGCTTTTGAAGTTGAAGACCATAGTGATCTAGCTTTCTAATTAGAATGTTAACGATGGTTTCAGCATTGGCAAAAGTGGAATCTTTTAAGACGTCCTCAACAAACAGGAATTGTATTTCCACTTTGTCTGTCTTGGAATTAAAAAACTGAATAAACGTTATTAAGAGTTCCAGTACAGATATATCTATAACTTCATCGCAGAGTAATCCAAAACAGTCTGCCACCTTTGCATTTTTTAGAAGCCTCTCCATCAGAGCTGTTCCAGTTGATAAAAAATACATGCAATTGTTCCTACCTTGAATAATTAAAGAACTTCAAGTTTTCTGGGCCAATGATTTTTAACAGGTCGGCTAAGGAAGAAAATTTTGTGGTTAGCAATTTCCTCCTTAGCTGGCCAGTATGCAGCCAGAGAAGCATTCAATAGGACTACATCCTTCACCTTCTCTTTCTCTTTAACTTAATCTTTGGGGTACAGTGTAACTGCAGTGTTACTTCTAGAAGTATCGCCACATACGTCCCACTGCTCCAACATGAATCGAATGGAGTGGGAAGGTCTGTTATGCCCTATGCATTTCAAATTGCATTGTCTTTTTTTACCTATTAATAGGTGCCGTAGCGGCTGTAAAAAGAAAAGAAGCTTGCATACCAACAGTTTTTTTGCAGAGTTTTCCTGCGTACTGCTGGGTACACTGCTGCTTGCAATCTACCATTTTGTCTCTGAAGATTCCTGGCGACAAACAGTGCAGAGATTAAACCTCAAGCCAGACATGATCTCAAAAATATACCAATGGCTGCGTATGTGTGTTCAAGAGATCTGGATGAGAGGCCGTTTACACCATTTGGAAGACCAAGAACCGCCGTTAAGTGTGATGAGAGCAAGTTCAATCACAAGGCTAAGGTAAGAACGCTAAATAAACGCCAAAAGCCCTGAGAAACACTGGAAAAAAAGCCAAGTATACCTTTGCTAATTTCTCGAAGATTCTAGAGGAAATCTAAGGTGGCTCAAAACAAATTCTACAAATTATGTCCTAAATACAGTTTGGCTCGTAGTACCAGTGTTAATTAGATAATTTTTTTTACAAAATCCATTACATTGGCAACCATGCAACACATTCACTTGGTTTCCTAAGTGGTTACTACTGTCGTATTGAAAGAACAAGAATGTAAAATCTCCTCATTCTGCCATATATGTAAGCATGAATATTCTTTAAAATATTTCGGGTAGAAAAATTTTGTTGGTCAGGTGAAAAGCAAAAAAAATATCCTTTGCCATCATTGCTTCCTACAGCTTCCTTATTTTTCCTTACCTACAGTAGTTAAAAAAGTGCAAACTGACTGATTTTTACCAAAAAATTAGAATATCTAACGAGCAGAAGTGAAAATATTTTAATATAACAAAACTCAGAATGTTCGGCATGATTAGATTATCATTTATCCGATTTGTTTAACTGGGGTAACTGCCAGGCTAATGGACCAATAGAATCAAACGAATAGTTAAGCTAACCCCATTTTCATCAAAATGGTAAAGGAGGATGTTCAGCTATAAATTATTCTTATGTTTACCTAAAATTTTTTTGCCGCAGTAAGTTCTATTCCACTCATGGAAAAAGATGTGCAGTAACAAATCCGTATGTCTCTTTTTCAGTTCAACCGAGAAAGAAGAGCAGCCAGTGACATGTGGGTATTTGGCATTGTCACTACCAAGTTTGGTAGAGCTCGGGGTTACTTCCAAGTTGTAGAGAGACGGGATATCGCGACACTTGATCCCATAATCTCGAAGTGTATCTGACCAGGAACAGAAATCTACAAGATGACTGGGCTTCATACAGAGGCATGGAACACCGTATAAATAATGTCGCCGTGCACTGAATCGTTGTGCATGCTTGACACTTTGTTGATCCTGTTACTGGTGTCCACACACTGGAGGTAGAAGTTGTGCTTTCCCAGTTAGAGGCCCTTCGAGATGAGGTGAAAAACGGCAGTCAATCGACGCTGAGCTCAGGCACACAGGACCCGGCACAGGACAACCCGATGCCTCTTGCATCTTTATTCGCCGATCAGGTGGACCAGAATGTTGAAGTGGCTAAAGTGATGAGCGATATCGCAGAACAGCTGCTGAGAAAAAAAGATCCGAAGCAAGCCCTGGAAGCAATACTGGGGAACAAGGTTGTGGAAAATAACGCGTCAAATGAATAAATAACACTTGAAAAGAATAACGCGTCGTTCATACTTATTGCAAATCATGAAATAAATCTGAAATCCTCTGTGTACCCCTTTTTTTTGTATTTTCGACAATGAACTTATGCTCAAAACCACAAGCGCCATATCAGGGAAGCTAAACTTAAAATTAAACACGAAAGACACGTGTAAAGTTAGCGCTGCCGCACCCGACAGCCTTTAAATTACTCTTACTTTCCTCTGACCAGCTGCTCACACAAATCGCTCGCTGATGGTCTTAGGGATGCGTTTGTGCGCAGGCAGGATCGACATACTTTTACAAACATTGATGGAAAGTTGGAAAACTTGTATTTCAAGGTTCTGATTAAGAATCCCAAAGAGTACACGTCGGACTTCTTGCTTTGCTTGCCATTTACTTGGCCAAGCTCAGGCGCAAGATGCTTGAATTGTTGCGTATCAGCAGGCGTAACATAAACCTTGGGGCTTATTTGATCTTTTGCTTTTTTAAAGTCAATTAAAATTGCTTCTGCTTTGGCTAGACTGTTTCCATCCAGTACAACATTGTTTATTTTTATGTCATTGTGTAAAATCTTGACTTTTTCATCATCAGCATCGGGCTCTTTAGCTGCTTTGTCATGCTGAAGTTTTGCCATTTGTCGAAAGTTGCAACATCTTCTTTTTGGGTTCTCGGCCGTTTCATTTTGCTTTCTTTTTTTGTGACTTTTGGAACTCCTTTGAGCCCTCAGTAATTTTGGGTCAATGACTTCCTTTGACGACATTATGAGACTTTTTAGAGTGACAGACGGCAAAGTAGGGACTCCTGTCATGATTCAATACCATCATACTTTGCGGTTCCTTTGCTCCCGTTGCGCGCATACAATTTGGAACCGGCTTGACGGGAAAAGTGTTTTAGGTTTTGTGTTGCACTGAGCTACGCCTTGTATTTAAACACTTTTATCACAGAGAGCAATGCACCAGAATGAGTTTATTTTATGCAGCTTGCTAGCATTTGAACACGTCAGAATCTCGTAGAGAAAAGGCCGTCTATTCAGAAGGAAATAACCAAATCAAATTTATGACGAATAATCACAGAAACCTCGGCACGCAGAAGTTATATTCACAAATTATAGTTGTTTGTTGGTTTACACACTTTTAGTGATAATTATTTGATCCTTGGAGTTGGGTGCTAAAAGTTACTTTCCTTTGTAGGTTTTTTGTAAGTGGTGCGAAATTGCGACAACGATGAGACACAAAGTGTTTGATGATGACATGGAAGAAGAAATCAATGTCTGATTTAGAGGTTAGACAACTATGTTATGAAGTCAGTGCACTGTCTTTTTATGTAGTGGTTTTGGGTAATCACCTAGTTGGCTTGCTCGCTTATAAAGTAGGGGAAAGTGCTCTCAGTACGGTCAATTGTCATTAACGTGTTAATCGCGTTCTCTTTTTCCTTTTTTACAGTGCAAGGAATGGGGTTTTTGTCTCAGGGACCTGTTTGGACTCGGGCTCGGTACCAGTGACTATGGCCATTTAACTGTTGAACATGCCTCCATGTTACTTAGGAACTTCAGATCTTTACGTGACTACAGCAATCAAGGCTTTGAGACCTCGCATAAACTGCAAAAGCAGATATATAGCCGGGTGACTAACCACGACAGCAGTGGCGAAGCTTCTTCATGTAAGTAACAAGTACAATCGAATTGCTGTCAATTGATAAACCAACAGTGAAAAAAAAAGAAGAAAAAACCTCTTTCTGTTTTCGTTTTAATAGTTGTATATATCATATGGGCTAGTGAAGACGTTTGCAGAAATTTTCTGTACAACTATGGTAAATTCCTCTTGCCAAAAAGCGCTTCATTTTAAAGCAAGTGTCAACTTTTCGGAATGCACTGCGAAATGAGTGAATTGTATCCCATTTTATACTTTTGAAGAAAGTGCAAGAATTTTTTCTTTTACTGTTAGCAACGAGATGATCAAACAAAACGTTGCCTGTTGAACCGGCATTTCATATAAAATTCAATTAATTATTAATGCATACTTCTGTTTCTTCTTCAGTGGACCAGATATTAACTCACCATTACGCTGAAAGGCTTCTGTTCTTAAGGCTTTGCTTCAGAAATGCTAAAGAATGCGCAAGAAAAGGCGGAAAAGGTAATACAGTTCATCAACACTTAGGGACTGGCGTAATGTAAAAACATTCAAAAGGTTTGGAATGCCGAGACAACTGACAGATGGCCAGCTAATTGGAAGCGGCAGTTGTGGCGTTGGGTTTATTCTAGCGGCCCTTGATTTTATGACCTCTTCACAACCTCAAGTTGTTTCACGGTCGTGGAACTTCAGTGAGATGACAGCACACAGGAAGGACATAATGAAACTGCTTGCTTGCAGGTAGTTTGTTCTCTTCGAAGCCATAAGCCAGATACAAGTTTGGCCAAAACGTTTGAGACACTGCCGCAAAAAGAGAAATTTTCTTTACGCTCCCTTCTCCAATTCACTAATTATCAGTAATTCTTACCATTAAACTTTTGTATCTTTTAATAAGTTGAAAATGTTCGGCTACTTCCATGTTAAGCAGCAAGACTCTCAGCAAAAACCTTATTCCAAAAGTTTCCCTTTCAGTGAATCGCAACGGAACATAGTAGCTTCAAATTTATGACGTCAGGTTTATGACGTAACTTTATAACATACCATTTACACTGGAAAAATCAAATGTACAGCTGTAAAGCTAAAGATGGCATGAGAATGTCGTACAAATTTAAAAATGTTACTTTTTTCACTTTTTGTTACTCTGTTGTTTTACCACTGTTTAATTTTAACGTCAGAGTACTTTTCAATCACCAAATGTTGTCAAGTAAGTTGTATAACTAAGTTTTGATTTGTTTAGCGGCCAGTGGATGGTTTTCTTTACAAAAATTGTCTTCCTTACAATAAAATAAATATAGCAAGATTCGCTGTTACCACATTATTAAAACAGTTTCTCCACTCGCGTGTGTTGGATAAGACATGGTTATAGCCAACTTCAATCCTCTGGTTGGCTATCTACCAGCTCATATCCAATGCGTACTCGTGGAATAATTGTTAAGTATTTCTGTTAGATTATGGAATGGGAGAACCTGGAAAATGATGTTATTCCCTCACGATGCTACCTTTCATTACTATTATCAGAATACCCTTTCCATCATAGCAGCTATTCAGCTATTTTTTTAACGTAAGAATACCCTCTTTGAATGAACAAACAAATAATTGTTCAATAAGTTCCAAATTTATTCATCATCCAATTTTTCTTTTTGGTTCCAAGAATTTAAACGATGTTGGTGTGTCTGGTAAACAAAGTCTAAAACGTGATTGAAGATCAAACAAAGTTCAGTCGGATTCCTGCCAAAACGCATCACCATATCAGTAAATCTACTAGGAAAAGCAAGTCGTTTTAACAAGATGCAAAGGCCTTCCATTCCGGAACAGACAGTCCTCTGAGAACAAACAAATCTATCGGGAAATCTCAATGCATGGAGCAGGACAGCAAGGTCAGATTTGTAGAATCTCAACTCGACTTTACATTCCTCTTCATCCCAATCATCCAAATCGAATTTGTCATACTTCCAATATGGAAATATTCCTCTTGAATAGTTTTCTTCGTAAAGAAGCGTAAATTCCTCATCATCAATGACATCGTCAAAATAAGACACCAGCAAAACGTCTCGAACACTTTGGAGGCCATAGCCTGCCGCCATGTTTACAAGTGCGGGTACGCATCTCGTTTGTATTTGGCGCTAAAGCAAAAGTATGACGCAACGTCAGTTCCAGTACTCCCGTCCCCAATCACGGTCAAGCAGCCGCGTCTTCAGGTATCGCGTCTTGTTGCTAAATCAGTCTAATATAAAGTCGTGCGACTTCGGCCTGGGAAATTGTTGAATACACTGCGATAATTTCGTACCGTATAAAACGGCCCGAAGTATATACTGTAAAATTCTGGTTAGATTATCTACCTGCAGACAAAACAATCCAGTCATAGGCCCCCCGATAACCCCCCTTCCCCCCCCTCTGCTCGATGACAGTGCTAACTGGAAATTTTGCTTTAATATGACTTTAAATTAAAAACGAATTTAGATCAACATTACCATGACTTGTTTCCAAACGCTTTTCAATCCGCTAAACCTACCCAAACCCTTTGAAAAGTTTTATTATATGGCTGCGATAGTACGCGCGCTCAGATTGGTTAATTAGCGGTCCGTAATCCCCCAGTAAACGCCCACGGGCACAGCAGATTTTTTCCGCCATGGTTTTGGTTTACAAAACCTAGCGAACTTAGTGACTTTCGCTGAAAGGAACTTCGTTAAAAAAGCAAGAAATTGAACAAAAAACGTATCTCTTCTTTAACTATGCGTTCTGAAAAACGTTTCTTTTCTGAATTTTATTATCCTGACGAAATTGTGACGGAAAATGAAGGCAATGTAGAAGTTCACTCTATTTCACGCGCTTTACCTATTTGAAGCCATATTATAAAAAAACTTACTAACCTTGTTTGCTCGGGCTTTACTATAAAATTCCATAATTTCGGGCTGAAATTTTGATTTATGGACCTCGCCCAGAGGCTCAGTCCATAAAGCAAAAATTTCATCCCTCAGTCTGGAATTTTACAGTTACGCCCTCGCGCCCGGTTATTAAGTAGTTAGTATTAGCCAAGGGCTTATAACCGAAACTTTACAGTATCAAAAATTTAACATGCTGAATTCGCACTACTTCACGGTTTAAACGGCTAAATTTCGCCGTCAAACTCCGCAACGTTCTCATTTTGATCAACATACGCGTTTCGTTTGTAGTCGTGGCGTGAGCGTGTTGCGTGCATTAATCAAAGGCAAAAGTCGTGGCGTCCAGTTCATCCCTTGTTCATTTCATGCAGACTTAAAAAAGGGGGAATTTCGCGTGAGTGTTAAAAATGACCCAAAATGATGAAATCCGAGATTCGTTCAACAAAAAGGGTCTATTATACTCTTTCTTAGTATCGATTTGCTGGCACGTACGTATTTGTCTGGCGGTTTACGGTCCAGAAAATAGAGCGGTTTCAGAAAAGGAAAGCTGACTTGGAAAGTCAGCAAATAAGATCGGCTCCTCCGCTTTCGCTTTTGTTCCCGGCCTATTGATTGTTTTAACGTGACGTCACATAATTTCCGGTCGGCCATATTGGTGTACCACTTTCGATTGTGTAATCCCCGTAATTTTTCCACAACTATCATTCCCACAAGTAAAATGGATTCAAAAGAGAAAGAAAAAGAGTCCCTGAACAAAAGCGGGGTCGACTATTCTTTTCCGATATCCGAATACGCGAAGCAGCTGGATTTTCCAGTCAGAGATCGATATTTAAAGAAAATAGCGGCAATTGGAATTGATCCAGTTTTAGTCGAAGGGAAGGACTTTAAGCCGGACTGTTTGCCTCCTGTTGAATCCACAGATATTTTGTGGTATCTTGTCTTGGAGACAAGTTTCTACACTCAGAAACAGTTTAAAGCTTTCCGAAGTCTTGGAGCATATAACCAAATGGTCTCTGGTTTTATCGCAAGCGTGCAAGGCCACATATTCACCGACAAGTTTCTTGTTCTAGCAAAGGTGAGACATTCCCAGCGTATGAACGACTCTCTTATTTCATGTTGGGTTATCACGGAAAGAGAAGGAACAATTTTGTTTGCACACTGCTTAGGTTGCAAGGCTGGCCTGGCAGAAACCTGTTCGCATATAGCAAGCGTGCTATTTTATCTGGAAGCGTGGACAAAAATAAATGGCAGACTTGCCTGCACGCAAGTGAAGTGCTCGTGGTTTTTACCTACCTACGTCAAACAAGTAGAATATGAAAAGAATATTTTTCTTTAATTTTGTTACCATAATTTGGCAATGACAAGGGCATTCCTAATGAATCCTACATGTAAAGCTGCAGTATTATTTGTGTAGAAAATAAGATGTTTTATTATGATATTTAGCATAAAATAGTGATATTTCAAAATTGTTAAAAAGAATCACAAGTAAAACATCTATTTTTAATTCATAACATGGCCCAAGAACATTCGGCAATTCTGATTATTTTTCTCAATATAGAGAGCAATAGTTACCATATAAAGAAGTTTGTAATGCCACTATTAATGATAAATATCACAAGCCAACAAATTGCAGGATTTCATTTAGCTAAATAATAAACAGAGAAAAAATGCACTCAACTGGTGGTGGCTATCAGTTTAAGTTTTGTTTTGTGACTTGAACTCTTCTACTGCATACTTCAAAAAATGTTGAAAGTAGTATGTCCTGAGGTCATCTTGGAGTTTTTTCCAAAATTCCACATCAAGTGAAACTCTCTCTACGTACAAACCTCTCTTTGTGTACACAACAAAGTCACACCATTGGGCTCCAGTGACTCCCATTTGCCCTTGGACTTGGGCGTAGTAAGCATGCTCTGTTTTCAGCCTGCACGTTGTTTCACTAGTTTTCTCCATGAGAATTTGGGATCTGAACATGCTTCAAGTGGCGAAAAATTTGCCTTGGTCCAAGGACACTTCACTTCAACCAAACCAAAACAGTCTGCACATCCTGGATCAATAACCTTCCCATCAGGTGAAGCACCAAGTATTGGGTAAGACTGAGAAATAACAAGCCCTGATGGGATGACAGTGATGGGCATTCTCTTAGCTCTCATGATTCACTGGTACTCCATTAGAGCAACGGGTTCAAACTTCTTACCATGTTCAATGTACTTGTTGTTGAGCACTGGTGGATTCATAATAGTGTTGGCAAATGCATCATGATTTCTTTTTCTTTTTCTTATTAAATCAAACAAGGACGCAGTGAAGCGGTATTTTCACTGTTGCTGCCACTCAGCACAATTGGATTGCTTGATGGTGAGCTTCTCAATATGAGTAATCAGATTCTCATCTACTTCAAGAAATTAAAGAAGAGACTGTTCATTTTTACTTAAATTCTGTGGTACTGTCATTTTGGTCAACTCGTCTGTCAATGGAAAGTGTGGGTACACAGTTTCAAAAATTGCCCCAACTGCTGCTCTTGGTATGGAGCTAACATCCACATTGCTTTAAAATTTGACTCAGTAAAGGACAAGTGGTATGACAGCAAGCTTCCAACAGGGCATTTGCCATTTTTTGTCTCAACAACGCTAGTGGTACATGTTGTGCTGTCTTGGGACATTTGGGAAAATCCCATGCCTGGAAGTATGCCATTTAATTTTGTTTTCAACCCTTTTTCTTTTTGCTGGTCGCAGGTCACGTTAACTAGTGCTTCCTGGAGGAGTGATTTTATTCCTACTCATTTTGTGTTTTCACTATCCTCAAGTTTAGTTTTATTAACCGCAACATTAATAATGGGTTCTGGAACAATATTTGACCCATCTCCTTTTTTATGCCACTTCTGCAGTTCTGAAGTACATTCAAGAGCTGCGTTCTGATCTGTTTCTTGGCATAGATCTCTTCTGGATTGGCACTCAAATACAGTAAACTTGCACAGTTTTAGCAACAATGCAAGAGTGTGGTTGCAGTATCCTACTTCCCCGTTGCCTTCATTACATCTCTAGTGATTATACATAATGCTACTTTAAGCTTGTGTGGAGGGTCATTTTTCCGAAAACTATGGCAACATCTCGCTCTGACATAAAAACATTGTTGGTCGTCGTTGGTCGTCGTTGGTCTTGATGTCCTCTAGGAAGGTCTTGTAGGCACGCTGTTGGTATTTTTGTTTGCAATATTCTTTCCAGACTGTGTTATATGTCTGTTCATCTCTGCTTTAGTGAAAAGGGGCATTCTTTGAAGAGATAAACCCTAGTTATTGTTGGGGAACTTGACGAGAATGTGACAGTAAATGTCCGAACTCACGTTGTTCAACAAGTGGTGTTTTTTACGCTTTAAATACAAATTATTTGGATCAGGATCCACAATACCTTTATCCTTTCCAGAGTTTATGTATTCCAAGACCCTAGAAGTATAAGAATTAGGGAAAGTTTACTTTATAACATCAAAAGGAACTGTTGTAAAATCTCTCAAGGGATCACCCAATCGAATGTGCACAGGTCAAACACACTAACCTTTTCACATGCTATGCTTTTGTCTTCAACCCTTTCGCTGGATTGCCTTGACACTTGAGCCAAAATCTTAACTCAACAGTTTTTAATTCAGGAACTTTTCTTCCTTCAAGGGAAGTGCCTGGTATGTCATTTTCAGTTAAGAAGCTAGAGCTTGCTTGTAAGCTTTTGTCTGCATCAGACGCCATTATGTGAAAGCATGCCTTTTAGGCCTTGATTTTGTGCATTTTTGTGTAGCCAGTGCCAGTCTCTCATGGTTTTTTCTGCCATTATGGCAAAGGTGTATTTGGTTTTGGATACCAGCTTTAATACTGCTAAGTAGTTCAAGGCCTTCAAGAGTTTAGAGGCATATAACCAGATGGTTTCTGGATTTATCACAAGCGTACAAGGGAAGGTTATTGCTGGAAAGTATGTGGTCTTAGCAAAGGTGCCACAGCACATTAATGACCATCTGATCCCCATTTGGATTGTTTTCGATATCCTGAGCTCTAGCATACAGAATTTCATTCACACAGGTCGGCTAAAGCCACGTGCATTTGACTTGGGTGCATGTTAGTTTTCCTTTGATTCTTGTCCATGTGTCAATATAAAAAAGCACACTTGCAACTTGAGAACTTGTTTCTGCTAATTCTGCTTTACATCCCATGGCTTGATGGCCCTGTCTAGATGGTGTTTCATACCTCATGTTGATGCTGAAATCAGACTTCTGATTGCCAGTGATGTTCTAGAGGCACTCAATCCGGTAGAGATAAGGCACAATGAAGATGGTGGCCCCTAAGCATCAAGAATATGCTTGGGTGGTGAACAATCCTTTGAGATGTTGTTGCCATGGATCTCAGGCTGTAAGCTCCTTTGTCTCCTTTGTTTTGGTTCCCAACAACAAGTCAGAAGCCTTAGCGCGGATCTGTTGGTTGAAGAAATGGAAAATGATTCCAAGTTGTGTGACGCCTACAAAGTCTCCATGAGAGAATTGGTTACCAAGGGTTATGCACGTAACGTTCCCACAGTTCAGATCAATCCTGTAGAGGGTAACATATAGGGTATATATCTCACCATGGGGTGTACCATCCCCACAAGCTTGGAAAAATTAGAGAAGTCTTTGATTGTTCAGCAAAGCTCATAAGGTTATCACTCAACAGCATGTAATCCAAGGGACCTGACTCGACAAATTCACTTTTTGGAGTGCTGACAAGGTTTTTCCAGGATAGAGTTGCAGTTATGGCAGACATAGAATCTATGATTCATCAGGTAGGAGTTTCAGACCGTGACAGTTCATTTCTGCGCTTCCTTTGGAAGGAGCAACAGAAACATGGCCAGTCCAGTGAAGTGCCATATCGTCTCCAGTGTGTGCAAATTTCGTCCTTCAACAAACCGCACAATAGGAACAGTAGGAACAAAAGTAGGAACAAAACTGAATCACAAATCCTAAAACACTAACACAAAATTTAAAACATAAATACAAAATATAAAACAGTAACACAAACTTGAAACATGAAACACAAAACCTAATACAGTAACACAATACTTGAATCACAGACACAAAATCTCAAACACTGGCACAAAACATGTCACACAATTGCAAGCATAAATGCTGACACAAAACTTGAAACATGAAACACGAACCTAAAACACAGTAAAAGTGAACGATAGCTCCCATGTTCGGCTGTCGGTAACCTGTCAGCCAACTGTCGGCCGACTGTTGTGTTAGCTTACATGAAGTGTTAGCTTACAAGAAATGTATAGCTTACATGAAGAATAAAGGAAGGAGAGCAAACACGTGTTGTCCTTGCTTCACGAGTAACTCAACACCAACAAGATACCAACACATTACCAACAGCCAGCTGACAGTGTTAACCAGATCATACATACCAATTTTACATGTGACATAACTATTTAATGAGCCTGCAGTTCTACATGTCAAATACAAAATATGTCAAGCCATGCTTATTTTTCAGCCTGCCTTCTGGACGCTTTATGGTGTGGCTTGTAAATGCAAATCTGTAGGTGTGATTTTTTACAAATGTAGGATTTTTTTGGGCAAATATATAGACAGGTTTTACTTGGTTAAATTGTAAAATTCTCTGATGAAGTGTGTGCTAGTCACACAAAATGCGGGAGAGTAAAAAAGTTTTACAATTACAGTTGGTAGAGTGCTGCTTACTAGTTTATTGTTTAAAAATTGTTGGATCATCAACAAACCATGTTTAAGTGCAGGCTACAGCAGGCCTAAGCCTTGAGCTAGTCATGAATAAGCAATAATGAATTTCCAATATTTAAACCATATATTTTTTTGCAAATTCGCCTGTACACCTGAAACATTGGCGATGTAGAGTAGCATGACTAGTTGATACAAGACTTATAACACAAATCGTTCACATTTACACAATGACGTGCCTCTCTATATATTTCACTTGCAGATTACTGTCAGACTTGTGCACCTCAACAGCAAAAATACCGAATTCAAGATTAAAAGAGCCTCCATGTTACCAATTTCTGTGCGCAAGTCAGCAACACATGTAACATGGTCATAGTCAGCGGTCATCATGGGAGTCGGACGTGCTTTTGCTTGCTCTCTCAAAATTCTCCTCTTTTTGACAATTTTTTTGCGCTAGAGACTTGTTGCACCTCAAGAGATGTTTAATAACCGAAGTGAGTTGCTTGTCTCCACGATCTAATGGAAAGTACTTGGTGCATGGTGAGATTACCAACTTGTGCCACGCTTTTGTAAAGCGTTCTGGTTTGGGCAGCCATCTTGGTTTTAAGCTTGTTCCCAAGCGTAAGAAGCACTTCTTCCTTCGCAGAATCTACCATCTACTACTCAGTAGAGCGTTTGGACAGAAAAGAAAACTGTCGTGGAGGAGGGGTAGCGCTTTATTTACTGGAAGACCTAAAATATACTTGAAGAAAAGATTTGGAAGAAGACTCGGAAGCTATTTGGATTCAAGTACAATTATGCAAAACGAATTTCTTGGTTGGATGTGTTTACCGCGCCCCAAACAAATCCCTGGAGGTTTTTGATTATTTGGATGACTTGCTGAGGTATGCCACTCGAAAGAATGTGGAAGTCATTATACTGGGTGACCTGAACTGTGATTATCTAAATGACTCCCTTGATAAAACAAAAAAATTATTGGAATTTCTTGCTGCTAATGAACTAGAACAAATAATTAAAGAACCCACTCGTGTTACTTGTAACACAAGATCTCTTATTGATTTACTCGTTACGTCTACCCCAAGTCTGTTCAGATCTTCAGGAGTTCTTAGTACAACTATAAGTGATCATTACCCTATTTTTGGACCTATGAACGGCCCAGCAATTTGTCCACATAAGCATCGCATCTTGACAACGCGGACTTGGAATGACGAAAGTAGGAAAAATTTCATCAATGACTTAAAGAAAACTCCTTGGACCTTTCTTGAGTTTTTCGATGACATGGAGGACATGTATTCTGCCTGGGAGTGCTTGTTTAAATCATTAATTGATTTCCCACTTTCCTATCAAAAGGAAAAGACTCTGAAAGCAAACGCACCCATGGTTAGACAACTCTGTGCTACGAATGATGAGAATCTGGGACAAGGCGCATAAAAAGGCCATAAGAACTGGTCTCACTGAAGACTGGCAAAAATATAGGCGACTCCGTAACCAAGTAACTAGCAGTAACAGGAAAAACAGAAAAGCCTATTTTAAGAATAAACTTCAAGAAAATCGAGCTAACCCTAAAGCCTACTGGAATACACTTCATCAAGTCCTTCCATCAAAGGATAGGAGCACCAAGATTGAAAAACTATTGATAGATGGTAACCAAGTGACTAACAAGACAGCTATAGCAAATTCACTAAATCAGTATTTTACCACGATTGCATCTATACTGTTGGCAAATCAACCTCCCCCAGAACCGTAACCAATAAAGCCATCGCCATCTAAACTCTTCAAGTTTAAACCTTTATTGGATTCAGATGTGTATATGGCTCTGAAGACAATAAACCCCAGTAAGGCCACTGGTGCAGACAACATCTTGGCTAAGTATTTGAAGATCGCTGCACCCACATTAGTGGAACTTTAACCAAAATATTTAACCAATCGTACAATTGTGGCCGATACCCATCTGCATGGAAGATCGCAAAAGTAAGTCCTGTTTTTAAGGGGGGGTCAAAGGCAGAATGCGATAATTACAGACCAATATCTGTGCTTCTGTGTATTTCTAAGATACATGAATCTCTTACAAACAAGGCCCTTGTTAATTATGCACAAGAAGCTGGTCTGATAAAACAACACCAATTCGCCTTTAAGAAACATTCATCAACTATGGTTGCCCTAATTCGAGCTGTAGATTCATGGAAAATGGCTATTGACAGATCAGAAAAAGTAGTACGTGCGTTTTTGGATTTAAAGAAAGCCTTCGACGTTGTAGACCATAATGTCTTGCTACAGAAGCTTGCTCAACATGGTGTGACTGGCAAGGAACATGAGTGTTTTGAAAGCTATCTGTCTGGAAGACTCCAGTTTGTCTCATGTGATGGAACTGATTCCGAACAATTGATGAATACCTATGGAATACCGCAGGGTTCTGTGCTAGGCCCGACTCTATTTAATATTCATATAGATAGCATTTCAGACGTTTGTGATAGCAGTGATATTGTATTGTACGCCGACAATACAGGAATTCACACCAACTCTAAAGATGTTAAAATTGCTGAACAGTATGTAAATGAAGATCTTGGAAGAGTTACCGATCGGCTCAGTACTGATGGTCTTATCTGCAATCACAAGAAATCCGAAGCAATCCTGATTGGATCAAAACACGCAGTGAAAAATGCTCCAGACTTACAAATCATTATGGATGGGAGGCTACTGAAACAGTGTGAAGACTTCAAATATTTAGGTGTTTATACAGATAATACTCTTAGCTGGAACAAGCATATTCCATATTTAGCCTCTAGGATATATCCCAAGCTTAAGATGTTAAATAGAATTTCACCCTTTCTTAGTCAAAGGGTGCTTTTAAATATCTATACACAAACGATATTACCCATAGTAGACTATGGCTGTATCGTATGTGGGGACTGTGGAAAGAGCAACTTACAGCATTTAGAAAGGTTACAAAATCAGGCCATGCATACTATCCTCTCTACAAATCATAATGCATGTTCTCAAGAAATGCGTAGTAAGCTTTCCTTATTAACATTGGAGAGCAGATGTAGATTCCTAAGACTTAATCTTGTTTTTAAGATTATACATAATATGAATTGCCCACAGCAATTAGAGAACTATCTCCTTAAGAGATCAGCCTTTCATACCAGAGATTTTAGAGACTCTACCTTATTGAACATTGTTGCTACAAAGACCAAAATGGGTCAAACGTCATTTAAATGTACTGCTGCTAGGAAGTGGAATCTTTTACCAAAGGACATTCGAGAGATACAGTCTTTATCTAAATTTAAGGCGATAGTTTTTGAATATTTTTTAGAACACGATAATTCTAATCATTTATGTAGTTTAAAATAAGTATTAGCTTTTCTATATATTTTATGTTATTTTAATTTATACTTTAGTTCTTTATAAGGTTTCTCCTTTGATTTTGATTGATACTATTTATCATGCTGATCACTAGTTCATACCAGCCAATCTATTAGATTGCTGATTAGTCTTATCAGTTGAAATAAAGCTTATTATTATTATTATTATTATTATTATTATTAACAGTAAAGAGAGCAGCAATAGACAAGCACATGGCGCACAATAGAAGTTTGTGTGCATGGATGTTGTCTTTTACATACCTGGCACAAAAGAGTGTTTTTCTTTTGAAAAGTAAAAAGAATCAATTGGGAAGCCTTACAATCCAGTTAATCTGTACTTGTACGGGAAAACAGACTACGAAGGTAAATAAAGTTAGTTGTTTGTTCTTATGAGTCTCTCTTCATTTTCATGAAAATTTGCATGGCACTTAATATGGTAAATGAAGAAATAACTGTTATATGGTTAAGTAACAAAAAACTCAAAGGTGATAACCATGGCATTTTGGGCTTGGCCCTGGGACCATCAATGGATGGGTGTCGATTTTAAAATGTGTTTCGAGATTAAAAATTCAAATTTAAATCAGGAATGAAAACTCTTGGCAGTTGTGGCGAAGTGGCCTTTAAAGGAATAAGCAGAACACTATGGATTATTCGACAGTGGTTCTGCAGACCTCAGGTAATATGCAGCTATCCACGCTTGTATACTCGAAGACCAAGAGGAAGCTTTTGGTTGATAGAGAGCGGTCGTGTACACCAGTAAAGCTGCAGAGATTTACTTACACGTCGAATGGGTCCAAAGTCATCATTCATGATATGACCAAAATTTCTTCACCACAACGAACAGAGTACTCATATCAATTTGCAGAAGTAGGGAACAATGGTGAGGAGCAGAGAATGGCAGTAAGAGAAATCACTGACAACTCCAATGAGGGAGACCTTATGTCCATCTGCGGGACAATAGTTGGTGTAGCTGAGCCAGCAGCAACAAAATCCAGGGGGCTGAAAGTTGCCAATGCCTTGTTTGCGGATGAAACAGGTAAAATTGAGCTGGATTTATGGAAGGGTCATATTTAGATATGTTCAATGGTGGTTAGGGAAGAAGAAAGTCTCTACAGTGGTGAGCAGTATTATCAGAACGGAAGAGATGAAGGAATGTTCGTCATCAATTCTGCTGGTGATGGAAGAAGAAATACGAGAAGGATCTGCTTCAAGCACTTTAACGATCCGAAGTTTTCAGTGTGTTGAGAAGGTAGACTTGTATCTTCAATATAAGAAGTGTTTTAGAAAGATTCTTCAAGCAATGGGAACCCTTGTGGTGCAATGTGACAGATGTGGCTATTCCATGAGAACTGTGGACTGCCCCATTCATCACTATGCTTTGGTAGTTATGAAGGTTACTTATGGCAGTCCTGTTTACATTACCGTGCTCAACGATGTTTTGGAAAAGCTGGTCCCTGACTGTAAGAATCTTTGTGATAGTGAAGTGGAAGAGATGTTGCTGTTAATGGAAAATATTACGATTACGTATGACAGTGACACATGTATTGTCCGAGGATAAACAAACTGTGTTGTTGATGTTCTGTGCTGTTTATGTTACTATAAAAGGTGGTTCCACTGGAAGAATCCAGCGATGCTGAAGTGGGAGAAATACCATTGTTAAAAACATGACTGTGAAAGATTATAGATCAGATGTATGGTTTTCAATGCAGTTGCTGCAAAGTAAGTCCAGAGATGGGGAAATTATGTTATTTCATTGTATGAGTATTTTTGTCTCAAGAATTGAACACGTTTATATGAGCAAATCTTCGATGTTACATCGAAGTAAGTGAGCGAGGACCTGAGGCAAATATAAGCTTTTTTTTTTGGTTGTTACAGTACTGTAGTTGTTTTGAACTAAACAACACTTCGGCCAGAAGCTCAAATATTACTTTTCGAAGTGTTAGCCTTAGCTTCAAATGGTGTTAAGACCTTGAATTTATTGGAGTCTTTTCCTTTGAAAGAGTTTGTCAGCATTCCTGAATAAATCAAGGTTCATTTTTACATGTTCGGGAGTGAGAAGAGCAGATCTTCAAGGATTTTGAGCAACATTACATTAATTTTTGTTGAGTCAACTGATAATAGGCGTAGCAGACTGTGCGACACTGGATGTTTACTTTTGGGTGGCTTTGTATTATTTCAGTGGGTTGTGCACGTGTTTGTTTTATGTTTTGCCGCTTGATATTAGTTTAGGTCTCGATTAATCACTGGTCATTGCGAGATATTTTTTGCTAAGCTACGTTTCTAGCTCTGGGAATTATCGCACCATGAATGGTAACAATTTCCTTGCAATGTAAATACCCATTTTGATCTCACGCACAAAATGAAACGGTGAAAGAGAAAGAAATTTATGCCAAATTCTGTCAGTGCTTTAGTGGTATGGTTAAATGTAGGTTTAAGCTGCTCTAATATATACTAAAATGCAGCAAAAGAAAGTAAAATGTTTCTTCATTGAGGACTTGGAGTATGAAAATAAACATGAGGTGTCACACAGTCTTCCATTTGTCTTGATACTTCCTGGAAGTCTCATGTTGTGAAGGATTGATCGTTTGAATTTTTCATCTGGATTTTTCTGCTGTTGTAATCTATATTAGCTCATGGGAGATTCAAGTGCAATGTTGGAGTTTGTATGGAGATTACGAACCAAAATGAAATCAACTGAAGTAAATTCAGTGATTAGAATATTCATTACTTTCCTTTTTGATTTAAAACATTTAATACTTATGCCTTGTTAATTTTTGTTGTATAGTGTTTAAACAAGATCTGAGCGATTTTAGGTTTTTTATGCTACAGTCAATAACTTAAAATTGGCCAAATCTTGTTAAAACGTCGCAGAAATGACAAGACACAACAGCAAGCAAAGTTTAAAAAGTTAAAGTTTTTGAAAGAACTGGTCATGTTGATTGATTTCAGCGTCAGTTTCTAGTCTCCATTCAGACTGTTACATTACGCTTGGATTTCCCTATGTTATGGTTTTGTTAAATTAGAGACCAGTCAGATTTTACAATTCCTCCTTTATGAATAAGGAGTCTTGGTGTATGAGATTATAAACGAAGTTAAAATAAAAACAACAGTTCACTGTGAAGTCTCTGAGTTTTTCTGGTGTCACTTTACTTTTTGTACTGAATTTGTTAGGAAATCTGTAATAATAAATCATCTTTCCTTTAGTGTCTGAAAACAGTGGAGCAAATTTAAGCACTTGATGCTTAATGGCATGGGGTAATATTAACCCCAAAGAGGACTATTTTAAGGAAACTTGATATCCCAGGGTTTATTATTAGAATGCATTCTGAGGTTGAAAAATATTTTGGCTGATTACTCTGGTGTGTAACATAACTGTGGCAGAGGTGAAGTACCTTTTCAGATGCGGAGCCAGGTCACTCTGTGTCACCAGATTGTGACGTCAACCTCCACACCTCTTGTAGGTTGTTTGCCTTAAAGGGGGGTTATGGGCACCACAGGACCCCCTAGCTGCACCCTTCCTTGTGTGTAGGGGTAAGCTCTTGATAAGTGAATATGAGGGCTGCACTGGGAAGTAATGTTCAAAGGTAGCAGGAGATGACTTACAGTAGGGCCAATGTTGCACATAACCTGGGTGGGAGTACTCCACAGTGAAAAGATCGGGTATTTGAAATTAACTCTTAAATGAGACCAATCTGCCTGTAGCTTAAACTTCATTTGACTCAAAAGAAAAATCACTTAAACATGAGCTACAATGACAGCATTTCTCTTTCTATTTTAATTTTTTTTGTGTGTAACCCCAAAAGGTCCTGATGACTAAACTTAGAGGCACCCTAAGTGAGATTTGTACTCTTGTAAAGTGAGAAAACATCCCCAATCTTTTCACAAGGAGTCCCCTCCAACAGGGTGTGGAAAAGCCGTGAGAAAGTGAGTTAAGAGTGGCAAACGTTTTTTACAATTTATTTTTCAAGGACTTCCGATCAGCCATAGTCTTGTGGCTCCTTAGTGAAAATTTCAAACTGATCTAAAGGAATTCCAAATATTTCCTAAAAGATTAATGCACCTTTAGGAGCAAGTAAGATTTGCACTGTGAAGGAGGGTTGATTGTAAAATTACACAGTATGGATTATAATCAGCAGAAGTGACTCACCCAGATTTGAGTGTAATCAAGGAAATGGCACAGATAAATATGAGATGTATATTTTTACTTGGTTTTTTGAAAATATGTCTGCCAGTAAAACTGGTTGTTTACCAATAGCAACTCAAGCCATTATGCATTAAATTAGTTTACAAGGCATAACCAGTAGATTTACTATGAAGGAGGGTCAAACTATGAAATCAGTCAAACTCAAGCTAACCAAAAGTATCAAATGTTCTCAATGGTTAGAGAGTCCAAAGACACTGTATCTTTTAATCAGGCTCTTAATATTCATATGACTTGAAGAGCTTTTTAAATTTTTAAAGTTGTTTGATTTTGTACATAGGTTATTACTAGTTAGTATCTGGGTAGTGTTTCTTAATTAATTGATTAATTTTATCCTTTTACATTTTGTACAATTTTATTGTTTTACATTAATACACACGTACATGTTTTAACAATCACTCAGGAGCTCCTTGGTGTTATTTGTTTAAATAAAGTATTGTATCGTATTGTATTATTGTAAATCTTTGATTATCCAGCAGTCTGGCAGTAAATTGATTGCATTTATGGTGGTTTCACATCAACTGATTTGTTGTGCTAATTATGATTATGGTAAAATAAAACTGGCACTTACCAGTATCAGTGCTTCATACAAAGCCTTAAAGAGCCAGTTCATTTAACAAATAATTTTGAGGAAGGCAATCACAAGGTCCAAATAGTTGAAAGTGTGCAGTTTCAAATATTGTACAAAACGTTGTTACTAGTTGAAATAGTCATGATAGAAGTTCATGGTGTTAGTATGAATATAACAAATGAATGGATGGAAGCTGCTGAATTCATTATTTGATGTTAGTTCTCAAGACCACATTGTTGTTTTCAGTGAAGTAGACAGCAATAGTTCCAACAAATATAATACATGTACTTCTTTCTTTTTAATTTGTGTTATTAACTGCATGAACTCCAGTGATGCTGTGCTTGCATTTTTCATGCTGTTCATTTATTTAAAATTCCAAACAGCTATTACATGATACCCGGCTACACATTACACAGAAAAGATCGAATCGGGAAGAAAGGTGGCGGCATATTTGCGTATGTAAATGAGAAAGTTATGGCTTTACGTCGAAGAGATTTGGAACTGGATGATCTTGAAACTCTCTGGCTTCAAATTTGTCCTCATAAATCAAAGAGACCGATTTTGATATCTGGTGTTTACCGTCCACCTTCAGCCAACAAAGATTATAATGAGAGCTTGGGTAAAAATATTGAAAATGCCCATCTCCAAAACAATGAATTGATTATTCTGGGAGACTTTAATTTGGATTATATTGATTTCAACTGTTATTCAAAACATTGTCTCGCAAAGGCACTGAACAGTCTTGGACTAACGCAGATGGTAAATGGGGTAACAAGACCTGCCTCTGATGCGTGCTTAGACCATATTTATTCTAGTCATCCTGCTAGAATTAGAGAAGTATCCATAGGTAAATCTGGACTTTCCGATCACCTTCCGGTCACCATCTTGAGGTGCTACAAAACCATGGATGCACAACGTAAACAACATTCCAAAATCAAATACAGAAATATCGACAAAATCAACAAAGAGTGCTTTCTGCGAGACCTCAGAGAAGCCCCTTGGGATATCTCCTTTGTTTTTCGAGATGCCGATGACATTGTTGAATCTTGGTACAAAATCTTTAATGACATTCTTGATAATCACGCACCTTTAAAGTCCAAGAGTGTGAAGAAAATCAATCAGCCAAAATGGTTCACTAATGATCTATACAACGAAATAAATAAACGCGATAATCTTCTAAAGAGGGCCAGGAGAACACAAAATAAGCAAGATTGGTCTGCTTTTAAACTGGTTAAAAACAAAGTGACGAGGAAACTAAGAAATGCGAAGGAACAGTACTTTAAAACTCAGTTCAGTAAAAATCAAAAATGTCCAAAGAAACTTTGGTCTTTAATTAAAGACCTATCTAAAGATACAAAGAATAACGATGACTCCGTCCCTATTGTGACGAAAACAACAACTTGATAAAGGATGACCATTCAATCGCTGAACGCTTTAACCGCTTCTTCGTTGATGTATATAAACGTCTCATAAAGTCGACACCTGTACTTCATTATGATGCTCTTCCTGGTCCACCAGACAAATCTAACAGTCAAATTGAAAATCTTATTCCGCAAATAACTCCTAGTGAGGTTAACGATTATCTTCTAAGTATACCTACACACAAAGCCACGGGAATCGATGGGCTTGGTGCCAGAGTTCTAAGGATTGCAGCTCCTGAAATATCATGCTCCATAGCTAAAATTATAAATCACTGTATTGAAACTTGTACATTTCCCTCACAATGGAAAATAGCAAAGGTTAAACCTCTTTTCAAGAATCAAGGAAACAAGCAAGATATTCAAAACTATCGTCCTATTAGCATTTTGCCTATTCTTTCTAAAGTCTTTGAAAGACACATCTTCAATGCTGTGAACACCTACTTAACAGAAAATTCACTTTTATACCGCTTCCAATCAGGGTTCCGTAAAAACCACTCCACGGATACTGCTTTGTTGTTTCTTCTGGACCAAGTCCTTCTTGACCTTGATAAGAACAACGTCAGCGGCTTAGTTTTTGTGGACTATAGCAAGGCATTCGACTTGATCAATCATGACATTCTCCTGATAAAGTTAAGATCATATAGATTTCCAGATAATGTTGTAAAGCTATTGCAGAGCTATCTACTCAATCGCAAACAGTGTGTTACTGTAAATAACTCGACTTCGTCACAACTTACGCTAACCAATGGAGTTCCTCAAGGTAGCATATTAGGACCTCTACTGTTTTTAATTTTCGTCAATGATCTTCCCGAAGCTGTTGGATCGGACTCAACTATTCATGCTTACGCGATGACACCACATTTAAAGCCAGCGCTAATATCGATAATGCACCTTTGGAATTGGAACGACGTCTTCAAGAATACATGGATAAATTAAGTAAATGGTCTAGCGAAAATGGGATGGTCCTAAACGCCGTTAAAACCAATGCATTACTTATCACTGGAAAGAGGCTACATTCATCATTAGCGGAAGGCAATCACCTGTCAATAACCCTTGATGGGGCCGAAATAGAACAAGTAACTTCTTATAAATTGCTTGGTGTAACACTCGATCAAGATCTTACATTTAGCGACCACATTTCTAGTCTAAAGGCCAAGCTTTCTCAGCGTATTGGTTTATTGAAGAAGATAAAGAGGTACCTTCCAATAAAAGAAAGACTCTTATACTATAACGCCTTGATTAAACCCGTCCTTATGTATGGGAGCATGGTTTGGAATATCTCATGACGCTAAAGAACTCCACTGTCTCCTAAGGTTACAGAAAAGGGCTGCCCGAGTAATCCTTGGAGTTGACTCTTATTCTAGAAGTGTTATAAACTTTAGTAAACTAGGCTGGTTGCCTTTTTTTGATGAAATCAAACTAAATAAGTGTACAATGATTTTTAAGAGCCTTAAAGGCGATGTTCCGATTTACATCAGAGACTTGCTCAAGACGAACAGTTCTGTACACAATAGGTCTACTAGACATGGCAATTTAAATTTAGTGTGTCCCAAATACCTAAGAAATAATGATGGTGGCAAGGCATTCAGTGTTGTCGCAGTTAAGTTATGGAACAGCCTTCCCCATAATATCAAAAATAAGCCTAGTATAAAACTATTCAAAACAGCTGTGAAAAAGTATTTTATAAGCTCATATAGAAACCTGGACAACTTTGAAACAATATTAAGCAATAGCACATTATCTAATTTTAATTTTTTATAAATTAATTTTATCTTTCTGAATATTTTTAATATATCCTGCTATTTCTATCATAGAATTTTGTAATTATTTGTATATTTATCTATTTATTAGTATTATTTTATAATGCTGTATAATCTAGTTAGAGGGCCACAGGTTTGTCAGCTTTTCAGCTGTTACGTGTCCCCCTCTATAAATAAAGTCCTTATTATTATTATTATTATTATTTGTAGCTTCAGATACAGTAACTGGTACTAAATCCAGAATGAATATAGTCAGCCGCAGTGCTGTACATCTCTGTCAAATACCACATGCAAGTAACTACATGACCGTATACCATTCCACTTCTTATAGTGTATTAGTATTTGACACGCGGGCGCAAATAAACAATATTCCCTCAAAAAATCATGTTATTCCCTTATTATCACCTCTAAGGAAGATTCCGGTCATCAAGCAAATCATACTGGTTATGCTCCTTGTTTTTTCCAGGATCAAAGCAACCAAATAATTCACTATGCTTCTCCTTAACAGCACAGTCCTGCTTATTGATATGCTCTGCATTTGGAGCAACAAACAACAAACTCAAAAAAAAATAGGTCAAATGCATTTTTCAGGACATACTTTCAATTTTGTTTCTTTTAAGTCGCTTGTGAACACTTAGTAAGGAAATAAAGATGGGTTTATCATCACTGTAGTATGACTCCAAGGTACCTGCAGATTGAATAAGCTGTGGTACATTTATATTAAGGTGACTTATTTGTGTGTATCCTCTGTCTGTTATCAGAGATTTTTTGAGAGCCCTTTGTTCTACAGACCCCTCAACTCTGAGTCAAAGTTTTCATATTCGGCATTATTCATATCTGCCATTGCTTTATCCAGTATTTCTGAATGGTATTCATATTGACACCTATTGCTGATAACTTTATCCTTAACCTGTTCAAATCGTTCTTGGTGAGTTTGACATTCTTTCATTAAGTCAGTGGTTTCATTTTGCCATGGTATTTAAAGCATAAGCTGTCCTCGAAAATAATTTTCTGGATCCTTACCTTTATTGTACCTAACAGATTGTATGATTTTAGGCTTCTTTTGTTTTACTAGTTACACCACTATTTTAAGTTTGTATTCACGCGGCTCACATTGACACTCAGTGACATTAATACTGATAGGGTCATCGTCAGGATTGTCATCAAAGCTTGTTTCTGGTAAGAAGTCATAAAGACCCGTGACTGATGACCCACTTCCATTCCAATCAGCACGTTCATCTTTAACACAGTTATAACATGAGACAAAGTTAGCTAAACACAACTTTTCTAACTGTTTTGGTCGCCTTTGATAATGCTTAATTATGTTGTCAGATTCTATGTCAGGTGAACTGTCTAACAATTCCTAGAGCTTATCCAGTTTCTTTAACAAAAATGTCCTGTCGTCTGGAGGTGATGAGCTAATAAACTGAAAATCATGGGAAGATCTTCTCATGAACATTTGTGAAACAAGATAAACAGCTTCTTGGCCACTGATTTAAACTGCATTCAGAAATTTGTTTCAAATGTGCCTCACTCTATTTGTAATATCTTTATTACTGGATTGGGCTTCTTCGGATGCCTTTTCTAGAATCCTGCTCATACCTCTCTGTCCTTTTGTAATGTAATGCTTTTGATAATCTTGTGTTTTATCCTCCAGAACAACTTTATCTGTTTGTGTATGTAATTCATTATTACTTAGAGTGTCAGAGTTTTCAACAAATTCACTCTAGTCTTCATGGGTACTAGACTGCAAACTTATGTTATCTAACCAAGCATTTTGTACTTCTTTACCTTCTCTCTTAAATAAACCACTTGTGTCAACAAGATATTTTGCTGCATCTAATACTTCAAACCTCCCGCCAAACGTCCATTGCCTCGTCCTCTCTCTTTGTCAGGATTTGATACAATCTGTCAGTCGTGGACACATGAAAACTCCAAAACATGTCGTCCTTCCCATGACTGTAAAGAGCCTTACAGACCATTAATAACCATTCTGAACAGGTTTGGACATGGCTTATCATACTCCCAAGTAGAGGAAGTAGAGACAGCTCTGGCCAAGACGCAGATTGCAAAGCAACAGAATGGTGTCTCTGTACCAAGTGCTTGCCACCCTAATGTATCAGGTGTATTGTGCTGGGATAACAATGACCTACAAGAAGAAACCTTGTCTGGTAAATTGTCTGACCTTTTATTTACTTTTTTTTCAGTCTATCTGAATAGTTTTCTAATCCCCAAGTGGAACTTAATAAAACCAGTTAAATAGCGCAATTTTGCACCAATAATTGTACCCATTTCTTATTGCAGGGAAGGGAACAACTCATTGCACTAATGGCATCGTTATTCAACGCAAACCTCTTACTTGTGCCTTACCACTTGAGATGTCCATTAAACAGCATCACCCCAAGGCCCGATCTATCACTTGTATTTCTACTGATGTACTTCCATATCATTCGGGACCTCATCAGGGACCTGGTGCACTCGAAATTGATGTCAACTCTATTATACAAACCTCCTCAGAAATCGCAGTTCCTGCACGGTTGGTAGACTTTGGCTGGGTACTCTGTAGAATGCGAATTGAAGACAACCTTTTCTCAATAGCAGACAGTCAACGGCAGTTAATACCAGCATGGACAGGCTTCAACACGTTACGAAATGAGAATAGTATTCCACGTGAATGCTCCATTGGCTATTGTCAAGTTATTGAAGCCAGTCCCACAGAGCTTTCCACAGTTTATACAGTGCTGCAGAGATCTTTACAAATTGCTGACCAGCTCAGACAACATGATGTCATTATCGTTTTTTCGATCAAGCAATCTACGCAAAGGTTCTTGAGGTGCTGAGGCAAAACAAGGATCAGTTTCAACGATTGGTTGTCCGGCTTGGCTCTTTTCACAACATCTGTGCCTTCCTTGCTGCTATTGGCAAACAATTTGGAGATGCCGGTCTTGCAGATGTTTTGATGGAAAGTGGCATTGTTACCTCGGGATCTGTAGCTGGAGTTATTGAGGGCCGTCACTACAACCACGCTGTACGTACACATAAGGTAGACACAGTTTACTTATGATGTTAGATAGCTTACACAATGAAGTCTTGATTTCTACAGACTCATAAATCGTTTTTACGTTTATTTTAGATGGTGTTTGAAGCATTGCACCGACTATGATGGATGGGTTTCAAAACATGGCTGCAACGACACGGGCACCAGGTGAACAGCATGACCCTTGTGAGTGCTTTAGAGGATATCCGAGAAGAGTTTAGCCCAGGGAAATTCAACAGGCTTATATCTATGCCGGAATTCCAAGTAATATTCAATCTTTACATGGAATACTGCAAAGACGACAATGGTCCTCTTAAAGTGTTTTGGAACAGCTACCTGGAGATGGTGGAGGTGCTGATGAATTTCCTGCGAGCAACAAGGGAAGGAAACTGGTCCCTGCATCTGGAGTGCATCAAGGAGATGCTGCCTTGGTTCTTCACGTACGACCACACTAATTACACTTGATATCTTCCAGTGTACTTGGCCCACATGATAACGCTGCCAGAAACTCACCCAGGAGAATGGTGATTTTGGGGTTCAGCGAACAACGTCCCATGGATTTTCACAGATGCCTGTAGATCAAACAATTGAACAGACTCTCAACAGAAGCACTAAGACAAAGGGAGGCATTGTTGGGTTCAGCCTAAGGAAAGGGGCAGTTCAGCGATGGATGATTACTGTGCACGCCCGTGCTGCTTTTGTAGACAAGTGCCGGAAAATGAGCACAGGTGAAGAAGAAATAGACTGTTGGGATTCTCACGTTTGAATGTGTTAATGGCTAGCGCCTGGATATGTCTGTTCCCACTTTGTCACTAGGACTACTGTACACGATCGAAATACTAGAAATAAGAACAAATTTGATATTCCGGGATACAAATCTGCTGCTGGGCAGCAATCTTTTTTGTACCTATCAGTAACTATGTGGAACTCATTGCCGACTGCTATCGCTGATTGTAATAACCTAGCATTGTTTAAGAGGAAATTGAAAGTTATCTTTTCCGATTGTATTTTTCAAATAGTCAATTGTATCATTATACGATGATTGTTATACATTCACAAATTAGGACTGAATGCCCCTTTATTGTAGATAATATTTAATACTCATTTGTAAATTAAGATTGATAGGTAGTTTTCCTATTGTAGACAATAACCAATGGCTTTGTGTAAATTAGGACTGAAAAGTCTTCTTGGAGCCCTAATGAAGATCTTATCTTCTTATCTATGTCTACGTTTCACATGAAAATTCGAAGTGAAGATGAACTAAAGGTTCAATTGACTGTGCATTCTGGGAAAGCTATGCACAAGCTCTCATTGGAGCAATAAAGAGGTATGACGGAGGTGTGTCCATAACCACGGTTATTGAAATGAACTTTTTCAATACTGCAGGAGAGAAGATAGTAACTCATGAATCTGCCTCAACTGCAACTGATCAATATACAATTAATGCGGATATATTGCAACAGCATCACAAGGATAAACATTTTTATCTCTGAGATGTAATTTACTGGCTCCACTGCAATAAGTTAATGAAATATTCGTGGTCAGAGTGGTCAGCGGCGAAATGGCGGTCAGTCGTAATTTTCTCGGCTCCGCCATAGTCACTTATCTATATCTGTTCTGTTGTTTAAGTCGCTCTTTAATTTATCTAAATACGCTCATTTTCTGTCCATCTTATGCCCTTGATGATTCTGGAGTTACAAAGACCACTAATGAAGTGGATTTATACCGTGCAAGTTGCTCGTCGTCGATGCGTTTGTTCCGCCATCTTGGATTTTCATCTTCAACAAGATCGCATCGCTACTTCACTGCTCGGATATCTCATACTCGAACTCCGTTTCCTCCTTTAACCTAACGCGTCTTCGCTTAACAACGAGTGGCGACATCAGCCCGAACCCTGGTCCACTAATTACGTCTTTTTACAACAAATCGTCGAGCAGTTAAACATCGAAGCCATCATCATAGCCACCGCTCCAACGTTGTGCAGGTAAACCGCGTATCTGATCTCCATTTGAGTACATCGAACACTCAGCTGACCATGTGCACGTTAAATGCTCGCTCTATTTCAAACAAATCTGCACTGTTTGTTGATTATGTCAGCGAATGCAAAGCCGACCTAGTTGCAATAACTGAAACTTGGTTATCAGACAACGACTCCGCTGTGTGCTACGAGATAACTCCTGCTGGCTATAAACTGTTACACTGCCCTAGGGGTGATCGTAGAGGTGGAGGTACGGCCCTCTTGTTCAGAGATAACATCAATGTTTCCAAGCTCGAAACTGTTTCAAGGATTTCCTTTGAATCTTCTGAATACCTTGTCTGCACTGGCTCCCTACGCTTTCGATTGGCAATCAATCATCTATCGACCGCCGTACTCTGTTAATCATCCTGTGACTGTGAACAGTTTTATTGACGAATTTTCTGAGTACCTTGAATCTGTTATCCTATCTAACGATGTCCTGTGTTTAACTGGCGATTTTAACATCCATGTTGATGATCACAATGATTCAGCTGCTTGTCGCTTTTTGGATTTATTGGAGTCAATGTCTTTAACTCAACATGTGACAGAACCAACGCATGAACTTGGTCATACACTAGATCTGGTAATTACTCGAAAGTCAGACAACCTTATTAGCGGTCGACCAGCGCCTGACATTCTATTTTCGGATCATCTAGCGTTACTTTTCAAATTGAAAACACCTCGACCACCTCTCAAAGTTGGGCGTGTCTCATTTAGGAAGTTGCGATCAATTGATAAGTCTGCTTTTGCGGATGAAATCTGTAACAGCGAGCTTCTTCAAACGGATACTGAAGATCCTGACGAGCTGGCCGCCTTATTCAACAACACATTGCGTTCCCTGCTGGATCGGCACGCTCCTGTTAAGCAAAAGAATGTTACTATTAGATCTCGTGTTCCATGGATGAATGATGAAATTATATTGGCTAAACGTCAACGAAGGAAAGCTGAAAGGAAATGGAGGGCTTCTAAAGCACACATCGATTTACTATCCTATCGCGCAATGAGAAATCGAGTGACGTTTTTGAGTAACGAGGCTCGTTGTGCATACTATACAAACTTCATAACTGAGAACAGCACGGACCAGAGAAGGTTATTTAGAGCAAGTAAGTCCCTGCTGAATTTATCAAATGGTCCTGGCCTCCCACTGTCGACTAATGATTATCAGTTGGCTAATGATTTTGGAAAATTCTTTGCTCAAAAATTGCTGATATCAAGTCTGTTATTGCAAACCAGAGCCGCCTTCCTGTCACCATCGACGCTGCCAGTACTGTGACTGCTTCCTGTTTTTCAGAATTTACTCTCCTGTCCGAATCAGAGGTTTTGATTTAATCAAAGCTTCATCAAAGAAATCTTGTCTTCTTGATCCTATTCCAACCAAACTTCTTACGGACTTCGCCGATGTGCTACTACCTCCGATCACGAAAATAATAAATCTTTTCGCTTGATTCTGGTTATTTTCCACGCACCTGGAAAAGTGCTCTAGTAAGGCCGCTGTTGAAGAAGGATGGATTACCTCTTGTTTTTAAGAACTACAGACCCGTGAGTAATTTGGCATTTATCTCAAAGCTGGTTGAGACTGTTGTTGCCAAGCAGCTACAGCATTATCTGAATGGCAACAATCTGTTCCCAGTGTTTCAATCCGCCTATCGACAGAACCACAGCACAGAAACTGCACTCCTTAAGGTTATGAATGATATTCTCCTTAACATGAACAGTCAACGTGTTACTCTGCTTATTCTGCTCGATTTAAGTGCTGCCTTCGACACAGTTGATCACGACACCATGCTACGTCGACTTGAGTCATCATTTGGTATACATGGGAAAGCCCTCTCCTGGTTTACGTCCTATTTGTCTGGTAGAACTCAACGGATAATGATTAACGATTCGCTGTCGGAACCTTTTAAATTAGAATGCGGTGTGCCTCAAGGTTCCTGTCTGGGTCCGTTATTGTTTTCGTTGTATACGAGCAAGCTTTTTTTGAGATCATTGAATATCATTTGCCCACGATTCATTGTTACGCTGACGACTCTCAAGTTTACATCTCATTCAGTCCCAACGACAGAGCTGAGCAACTTGCTGTAGTGAGGAGTATGGAGGACTGCATCAGAGACATTCGTCTTTGGATGTTGAATAATGATCTTAAATTAAATGACGACAAGACTGAATTCCTTATCATTGGCACATCACAACAGCTGGGAAAGCTCGACAATATCAGTATACGTGTGGGCGACTCAGACATACATCCCGTGCCAATTGCGAGAAATCTTGGTTCCTGGTTTGATTCAAGGCTCTCCATGGCAACACACATCACGAAAATTTGTGCCTCTTCATTTTACTACATTTATAATATTCGTCGGATCAGAAAGTACCTTTCACAGCAGTCAACGGAAACTCTTGTCCATGCATTTATAACGAGCCGCCTGGACTATTGCAATGGCCTATTATATGGACTACCGGACTGCTTGTTGAATAAGCTGCAACGAGTACAGAATGCTTGTGCCAGATTGATTCTTAAAGAACAGAGATTTTGTCATATTACGCCCTTAATTTTTAAGTTACACTGGTTACCAATTAGATATAGAATTGAGTTTAAAATATTGTTAATTACTTTTAAGATTCTTAATTTTTAGCCCCTTCTTATCTATCCTCTCTTATTTCCCTTAGACCCCCCCTCAAATATAATTTAAGAAATTCCAGTGATAAGCTTTTACTTAGCCATCCATCATTTAAATCGAAAGCTACACTGGGGACCGTTCTTTTACCTGTGCTGCTCGAAACTATGGAACGAACTACCGCTGGATATTAGGAGCGCAAGAACAGTAAATATTTTTAAAGCTAAACTGAAGACTCACCTTTTTCGTAGTGCATTTCTATAGCTTTTTTTTTTTTTATCTCGTTTCTTAAAATTATTGTAAGTCTATTTTAATGATAATTTTTAATCTTGTAATGCGCATTTGAACATTTTATGGAATTTGCGCACTATAAATTTTTAATATTATTATTATTAAATATTCACAATTATTTACCATGTATCAACTCATGCAAGCCAGGTTGCAAAATTTGAGACCTGCTCCTCTTCTATGTTTCTTGGAGTAATGGAGTGTCAACATGTGTTGTTTCAGGAAATACTGAAGGCACCCTATAGCAACTAAGCCGTGAATGGTGTATACATGTATAATAATACACAATGTGAGAATGAAACCAAGGGCAAGGAGTTAATATACCGTAAAAACTCGTGTATAAGCTGTTTAGACTGCTGTTCATATTTGGATTTGTTAGTTCGGGCCTTTGTTTGCCCGTCGCTTTTCGTGACACTTACATGACATTTTGTTATACCATGTCACGCGATTAGTTCACTCATGGTCGTTCGCTAGGACACAGCACAGATTGTAAGTGTTTAGTTCTTTGCCATCCTTCTGCTGGTCTTTAGTTTCTCTTAGCCTTTTTCTTATAGCAGCCTTTGTTTGCCTTTTATTGTACTTTTAACCATTGAACAAGTTCATTTAGTTTCCATATTCGTATGGAGAGATATGGAGTGAATAAAGCGAGCATTTACGTAGTCAAATGAGTCGAATACCTGTGTAAAGCCCAGTAACAGCGAACGCCATAGACGCCACCAGATAAGCGGGTGTCTACAAAACGAAGACCGAAGACCGAAGACCGAAGACCGAGGACCGAGGACCGAGGACCGAGGACCGAGGACCGAGGACCGAGGACCGAGGACCGAGGACCGAAGACCGAAGACCCTAATTTTTTTGCCCGAATAAGGCACAGACAGTTAAAAAACGAACCCAAAGCGTTCCTCAGCACAAACCGATGTGAAATTAACAGGGGTCTTCGTTTAGTAGAAAAGCCCCCCTAAATCTACAAAACGAAGACCCTTGCTAAAATGCTTTGCCAGACCCCTGGGGAGGAAGAATCTATTATACGTTGCCAATTTCAACCGCGCGCGACAAAAAGGGGTGCATCAGTTGTTTAGACTGATGCGGTTTTAAATCGCAAAGGAGGCCAGCTTAGGGGGTGCAGGACTTGTACAGCACTAAAGTATTTTTGTAACACGAGGTATTTCACAATTTCTAGCTGATCTTAAGCTTCCCATTATGTAGTAATTTTACAGCATGTAGGAAATATTCAGTACTCTGCTGAATACTAGGAAAGTTACTAGAGATAGTAGCATTCACAATTTGTAGTGGCAGCAGCAACATCGGCTATTAGCCTGGCAATTTTACTTATTCTCAAAAAGGCAAAGGGAGTGAAATAAATATTTGAACTAACGTCATGGTTGATAATTTATGCCGTTCAGTAGCATAGCGTGATGATGCGACAATTTTAAAGACTTGGCTGTGACCTAATAGCGAAATGATTTAGTCTTAGGATAGGTGATAGAAAGCACATATTGTTGTTGTTGTTTTTTTTTTGTGGGGGCGGCTAAAACAGTTCAAACGTTTCAGCGTATCAGTCAAAAAATAGGCCTGGTTGTGTCAGAAAGCAGCTTCGGTTGTGATGGATCGCCAACTTTGTGACAAAAACACTTTGTCAGACGCCAATTGACGCAAAATCAAGGGGGTCTTCGTTTTGTAGAAAACCCCCCCTAAATCTACAAAATGAAGACCCTTGCTAAGACGCTTTGTCAGACCCCTGGGAAGGAAGAATCTATTATACATTGCCGATTTCAACCGCGCGCGACAAAAAAGGCTCTGTAAACCCAGGGAGGAAAAAAAGACAAAGGGAGTGAAATAAATATTTGAACTAATGTCATGGTTGATAATTTATGCCGTTCAGTAGCATAGCGTGAAGACTGACGCGACAATTTTAAAGACTTGGCTGTGACCTAATACTGTAGCAAAAATGAGTTAGTCTTAGGATAGGTGATAGAAAGCACATATTTAGTTCAAACGTTTCAGTGTATCAGTCAAAAAATAGGCGCGTTTGTGTCAGAAAGCAGCTTCAGTTGTGATGGATCGCCAACTTTTGGACAAAAACGCTTTGTCAGACGCCAATTGACGTGAAATAACTGGGGCTTTTATTTTCCGTTTAAAAAGAACTGTGTGGATCTAGAAAGTAAAGACCGTTGCTAAAACTGTTTGCGAGTAAACAAATAATTTAAAGCACTAAGGAAGACCGGGAGCCTTATTTGGTCTTATTTGGGTCATAATTGAATGTCTTCATTTGAAAAACTCTTTTTAGTTGGAACTCTTGTTGCTCTCACTTGACTTGTAAATTTCTCACTTTTTAGTCCGGAACCTGAAAAAAGGTAATTTACATTTTACTGGAAGTACAAACTTTCAGAGCAATTAACTGACACAAGCCAAACATTTCTGGAGAATAAAAAAACACAAATGAAACAATTTTTAAAATTTCTAAACAGACAAATACCTTTTCTCTGCAAGCTATTGACGTTAACTTTAGTGCCAACATGTACAACGGAACTTTTTGCCGGCTGATTGCACTCTACAGACATAAAGCTCATGAAATCTAGCCGCTTTTCACCAACCATAAATGATTGACAGTTCTCACCTTTTGGCGTTTTGCACTTTGGCAAAAGCCTGACTTACCGCCAGCCTGATTATTTTGCTCTTCTTTGGTTGAATTGCAGTCATATCAAAATGTGAGAGCGTTGAAGCCACAAACACGCTGTCGAAGTTCCGAAAATTCGGACTTCCTCGACTTCTAGATGGAACATCACCCGAACAACCAAAGCCCAAAGTTGAGGGCAGTGATGGAATACCGCGGTTCGACTGCAACAAGCTAGTTATCAAAGATCGCATTGGCCACAGCGCATTTGGCGATGTCTTTACTGCCGATTACCAGGTGCCAGGTAAGGACAGTAAAGAGACGGTAGTTATAAAAAAAATGATTAACATCATGGATGCAGAAGGAAAAAACTCTTCTTAAAAGAAGTAGCTTTATTAAGTGGCCTTAACCATCCCAATGTGGTGAAGTTTATGTCCGTTTGTCACAAACCTCCAGCCATGATGCTAGAATACGTTTACTTTGATTTCAATTTGTTTGGCCTAGACGAAAGCGTGAGTACACTGTCCGATTTTCTGATAAAAATCGACGAGTATGACAGTGCTGGTTATCAAGAAATGGTTTCTCATGCAGCCACAGAGATAATAAGTGGCCTAGCGTATCTGCACCAAACAGGAATCGCCCACAGAGACCTCAAAACGGCGAACATTTTAGTGAGCAACCAACACTACTGCTCTATGTCAGTAAAGTCGCGTGATTTACATGAAAGTTATCATGAAAGGCCAATTGCTTGTAGGCTGACTGATTTTGGTGAAAGTCGGTCACTATTCGCTCAGACGCAGCAACTCTATAGCTCCAAGACCACCACTGTTGATCGAGGGACATCGATGTATGGTCTACATGTCACCAGAGCTTCTGGTTGAAGAAAAGCGCTTAACAAAGGCTTCTATCGCAGATCTAATGATGGCAGACGTCTGGGCCCTGGGTATGGTTATCTTTACGCTGCTTAACCCAAGCCTTAAAAGTCCTTACATCTTAGAAATGAGATCAGAAGGTGTAAGGAATCGAGAGCAGCTGAAGAAGTTCATCACGGAACTTTTACGGAAAGAGAAACTACCACAACACGATGAAAAGTACGACGTCGATCGTGCTAGTGTTTGGTTTGCTTTAGAGGAAGTCTGTCAAGGTTGCCTTAATTTTAACAGGCGTCAGGAGAGATTTTCAATGGACTTTCAGGTCATTAACCTTAGGGTTAGCCAGGCAACCGCTCTTGAGCAGTTTGATCAAAAGGCGGCTGAAGAGCTCCAAGAGCAGGCGAAGTCCTTACAATCCAACGTGATGCCCATACACGATGGAACCAACGCATGTGCATTCCTGTGCATTGGTGTTGCAGAAAACATTCTCCAGGAAATCGAAACCGAAGTCTTCTTCGAAAATTTGCCGACAGCCGTGGAATCCATCATATGGTCGTTACCAGAGAAAATAAATGAACACCACTTGATCCACTTGTCTTGACTATTGGGTGTCATAACGGCAAACCTTACGTCATCGATACACATCCAATTGCACCACCAGCAGGGAATGGAAATGGAAATGGTCTCGTTCTCGTAGGTAACAACAACACCCCCGAGGTTTGGATGTCTATCTGTGTGTGGCTCTGGCAAAGACTACACCATGGCGGAGTGAGTCCCACCACAGCTCAATCATTAGCAGTTGTTACACTGGATCCAAGGTGAGTGTGTCCATCATTTTTCATACAATAACTTCTATTCTATTCGCGCTGTGATTGGCCGATGCCCGTTATCTATCAGAGGACAGATGCACGAATGACGTCACTGCGTGGCGTGAGTCGCGAAATGAAGTTGGAATGAAGCGAGTTTAGCTCACGGACACCAATGGCCGCCTACCTTTGGAACTAAAATTTTATGTTATTGTATAAAACAAATAGATTCCATTTTACCGTGCATCTGTTCAGTTATAGTTATAGTGCTAAGAACATCAGTGACCTACTTGCCTAATGGCTCGTGGGCCACTTTTCTGTTCTTACCACATTTTGACGTCATCTGTGATCTATAACTGAACAGACGCACGGCAAAATGGAATCTATTTGTTAAGTATATAGAGGATATTACATGGCCACGCAGAGAGATGAGATATGTTTTTTTAACGGGGAAGAGAAATTTCGTTTCTCCAAGCGGCCAATGAATACCAAACCTTTTAAGTTTTGATGCAAATGGCATGATTTTTTTATGTAACTGTAGCAACGTTGATATCTTCACATGTGAAAATAACATGTTATTTTCACGTGTGAAGATATGTTTTTGCGTGAAAGCTCACCTGGTATTTCACTGCTGTTTATATAATAAATATATTTATTTTTCCACTGTTGCGCCATTTCATCATACTTTGGTCAAGAGAACGCGCAAAATCTATATATCGTTTTAGACGTTTTGGCTGAGTATTTTTACGAGTCGTGCTGTGTTTTTTTTATTTTATGGCTGCGATAGTATGCGTGCTCTGATTGGTTAATTATTGGTTCGTAATTTCCCGGTAAACGACCACGGGCATTACAGATTTTTCCTGCCACGGTTTTGTTTAAAAAAACATAGCAAACTTAGTGACTTGAACCGATGAAAGAAACTTCTTAAAAAGTAGGAAAATCAACAATACACGTATCTCTTCTTTTACTATTAGTTCTGAAGAGGATTTCTTTTCTGATTTATCATCCTGACGAAATTGTGTAGGAAAATGAAAGCAATGTAGATGTTCTCTCTATTTCGCGCGCTTTGCCTGTGTAAAGCCATATAATAGGTATAGGAAACCGTACGACCTCCAGTCAAAATTGCACAAGCCTTTAGGCGAGTGCAATTTGAGAACTTTCAAAACATTACGAGTACCTATTAATCAGGAATTGTACAAGAAGGTCGTGCGATTTTTTATTTATAGTATACTCAACAAAATTACGATCAACCAATCAGAACGGTAAGCTTTAAAGCTCATATCTGTTTACTTCAGAAATCTTCTGGCTGACGTCGGAAATCTTCAAAAGACTTTGGTTGAACCCAGGACAACTTTTAAATTCTTTGGGTCAACTCCAGAAATCTTTGGGTCAACTTCGGCAACCTTCGGAAGTCTCCGGGCCAACTTCAGGAATCTTTCAGTCAACTTCAGAAACCTTCGGGCCAACTTCGGGAATCTTCGAAAGACTTCGGGTAAACTTCAGAAATCTTCAGGTCCACTTGGGATGTATTCGGAAGACTTCGGAAAACTTCGGGTTAACTTTGGAAAGAAAAGTAATTGGTACCCCTGAGAGTACAATTTGGGATTAAACAACTTAATAACCTTGTTTGTCCGGGCTTTACTGTAAAATTCCAGACTTCGGCCTGAAACTTTTTGCTTTATGCATTGACTTCGCCAAAGGCTCGGTCCATAAAAGAAAAATTTCATCCCTCAGTCTGAAATTTTACAGTAAAGCCCTCGCACGCGGTTATTAAATAGTTAGTATTTTGACGAGGCCGTAGAGCGAGTCTAAATACAAAAAGTACTCAGCGATTCTACAAACAAAAAATTTATTATCCAACTGCTTTATTTTCAGCTTGCATTTCTTTCGAAAATCTTGAAAGAAAGTTTTGTTTAACACACACACTCCTGCTATATTTTGCTGCTTTTTGGCGAATTCTGTGAAGAGTAACCGTTGCTGTAACTGTAAAATGTCAACAACATAAAACAACAGCGACGGTGTTATAAAACGAAAGGTCTTAAAGTTTGATGCGTGCGCAATAATAATAATGTGATTTGTAACTTTAAGGCACGGCTCTTTAGAAGACCACTGTTTAGTGATAAGGATTTCCGTTGGTAAATAACGTTTCTATCTATCTATCTATCTATCTATCTATCTATCTATCTATCTATCTATCTATCTAGCTAGCTATCTATCTAAAAACCCAACAAAGTGTAGCAATGCTAAATGTCATTTCCTAATCAATAAATTGGTTTAACCGGGAAGTAAAATACAATACAAGAATAGTGGAATAATAAATCCCTTATTAGATAGATTAAGAAATAATACATGCGGTCATTTTGCTCGTTGCTCGCAAAATATCTGCGCGTATTATGTTTTAAACCATCCATTGAGGTGTATATATTTATCCCAAGCCTTGATCAATACAGCCAAAAAGCTTAGTAGACTGCTTTAAGTCTGTTTATCTCTTGAATCTTAAAAAATGCGATCTCAGTTTTGATTATGCAGAATTAGTTCACCAAAATAACTCAATTACACCCTGTTTGTAAAGTGTTTCTAAACCAGGAACCAAAGGACTGTTTACCACTGGTGATGAAGCAAACAAGGAACCCGAGGTAGGAATGTACTGAAGAAGTATTCAGAAGTAATGCACTTAAAGATATACATGAAAAAATTACTTAATTGATTGGCTAAAAAAGGAGTGCAGCTTTCCTGTAACACCAGTGCAAAAATGTGTTACACCAGTACAAAAATGTGTAACACCAGTGCAAACTACAAAGTAATCACATGACCATATCGTGGGCTCGGGTACAGCTAACTGCAATTTTCTTAAGCGAATAAATGTCTTTTTTTAGCAAACCAAGAAAAGACAGATGAACTCTTGCGCCCAAAGACAAAAAGAAACCGAAGAAAGGAACAACGAAAGACCTTCAGGAGGCGAAAAGGTAAATGTTAAAGATAACGTTGTCCTGAGTTTTCTACAAGTGCTTCGATAGATGGAGAGGAAAGTGAAAGAACTCAGAGATAACTGAACTTATCTACGCAGTGCAATATCCAGTGTGAGTTCTTTTAACACTTTGAAGACTATTCTACAGCAAGAGAATTCTACTAAACAACTACAGAGGTAGCAAACGTTCTAAACTTTCTCTATAGCTGCACTTTTTTCAAGCTAATTAATGTCTGCTTTTTTAGAAAACCAAGCAAAGAGAGGTGCATGCTGCCGCCCAAAGACAAAAGGAATCTGAAAAAAGGAACGACGAAGGACCTTCAGGAGGTGAAAAGGTAAAAGTTAAAGATGTTGTCCTACGTTTTTTAAGAAGTCCTTTGATAGATGGTTAGAGATGAATTTGAAAGAAATTGGAGATAACTGACTATACCTACAAAGTGAAATCCCCATTGTGACGGCAGTGTAAATATTTAAACACACGCAAGACTACGTAACCCTTTTATCTGACTTGATAATTCTACCAAACAACTACACAAGTGGTAAACCACATAAACTTTCTCTAATTGCATTTTTCTTAAGAGAATGTCTTCTTTTCAGCAAACCAAGCGAAGAGAGAAGGATGCTTCCGCCCAAAGACAAAAGGAAACCGAAAAAAGGAGAGACGAAAGACCTTTAGGAGGCGAAAAGGTAAAGGTTAAAAGATAGATGGAGATGAAAGTGAAAAAAACTCAGAGATAACTGACCATACCTCCACATTGCAATCTCCAGTGTGAGTTCTTTAGCACGTTCAAGACAACGTGACCCTTTCTCAACGTAGATAATTCTAACAAACAATTACACCAATAGAAAATGATATAAATGTTCTCTAACTGCAATATTCTCAAGTGAATTAATGTCCTTTTTTCAGCAAACCAAGCAAAGACAGATGGACTCTGCCGCCCAATGACAAAAAGAATCCGAAAAAAGGAACGACGAAAGACCTTCAGGAGGCAAAAAGGTAAAACTAAAAGAGAACGTTGTTTTTCTGCCATGCCTGATTCGAACGAAAACATGATTAATTTCATTTTATTGTGGTAAGCATAATCCATAAAGGCCTAACCATGGAACCCTTTCTCCGGCTAGATGATTATATGAAGCAACTACTCAAATAGCAAAGGATATAAACTTTTTTCTAACTGCAATTTAACAAATGCATTTCTCTATTCTTTTTCAGCAAACCAAGAGAAGAGAAAGAGAGAGTAATGGTAAGAGAGACGAAGAAAACCGAAAAAGCCAAGGTGAAAGCCCTTCATGTAGCGAAAAGGTATATAAACTAAATACAGACATCCAAGCAGACAAACAAGTAGGCAGCTAGGCTGAGGGGTACTTCGATGGGTCGGTAAGTAGGCAGGCAGGCTAACAGGAAAGTGTGTAGGTATGTAGTAGGTATGTAGTAGGTAGGTAGGTAGGTAGGTAGGTAGGTAGGTAGGTAGGTAGGTAGATAGGTAGGTAGGTAGGTAGGTAGGTAGGTTAAAGCTATTAGGTAGTTAGGAAAGAAATCATCGAGAAGATGTTTGGGAGGGACTTTAAATGTTCATAGCGTTCAATTGCAAAAATGGCAATTGCCAAAATTGGTATTCGAAAGAGAGGAAATATGCAAGAGATTTGTACGAGAATGTTATAAGAATAGTACTGGGCAACAAAAGAACAAGTTGGGAGACTCCCAGGATGTTCTTTTCTTAAATATCTTAGGACGACATAAGACAGGTAGAGCTCAACTTTGACAAAAATAAACAGTTCGGCAGGAACTTTGCACGCAACATTTGACAGGCTAAAGATGTAATTATTCGATGTCTTTTTATTTAGAGGCAACATGATGATTTGTTTACTGTGGATTCGCGTTCCTCAGAGCAATATATGGCAGGTGCCTGTGACTCTGAAAACAGCGACGATAACACGACATCTTCCTCCGATGAGGTATGGTAAATTTCTTAATTGGTAGCTTATGAAGTCTTTCTTGTAGTGCACTCAGTGAAAGCACTTTAATCTGGTATATTGTTAGCTGGACTACGGAGATGCTCTGCCTTCCATATCTGAGGCGAATTTTCACGACAATTTCGACGTTCAGAGATCAACTCACCTTTCAACCATTCCCGTATTTAGCATGATTAATTTTAAATACTTTGCCGTTGATTTATATACTGTAAGCCTCTCCTAAGTCAAAAGATCGAATGCACGCCAGAATAATTACTCTCGCGTTAGTAATTAGTCGAAATCGTAGCCTGTATTTCGCGAGCGAGCACCGGGAATAGAGTTTTAGATAAATATATTAGAAAATTTTTTAAATGAAAACGATGTTATTTGTTTCCTTTTGAAACAATGATAATATTGTTTGAACAACAGACATTTTGAATTTGCTAGAAAAGAGGCATTTAAACTCCAGGGTCTGTAGACCTGCTTTGGTCAAGTTTTATGCAACTGTGATTTGGAGTGAAGGTCTAAACTGAACCGTTTAATAATGTTATTTTATGCGTTCTTTTCGTTCAGGGGGAGGACAACGATTTGATTGTACTAGAACTGTCCAATCCAGACTCGGCAGATCTACACGACGCCGTAAACAGCGACGATGACATGATTTGTACCTTTTATAAGGTAAGAGCAATTTAAGAAATATTCCCTTTTGTTTATAAACGTTATTATACGTTCAAAAACGTTATTCTATGCTACTACACTTAATATATACTCATTTTGGAAATATTATAAAGAGAAATAAAATACTTTTTCTAAGCGGGCTAAGGAAAACTTTTCTTATATTTCATATAATAGGACAATCAGCAATTGTTGAGCATCATTTGTAATGGGGAGATGTTGACATGAAATGCATTTGGTAATTGTGTAGATATAGGAGTCAACACTGAAAACCTTCTTTTTTTGGAAACTGAATTACAATACACTTCAAAGTGTTAATGACGTGAATCTTTTCATACATTTTCAGACCCAGGAATGTTGGAATGGTGATGGACAGATGCCGTTATTCGAAAAAGTACAACCGAGAGGTACACAGTCGATCAAGCCATAGAGATCATAACCAAACACAGCCTGACTTTCACTAAATGCACCAGTCAACCTTTAAAGGTTAGAGAAAACGCTTCCTTTCTAGTCGACCTTAATGGTTTTGCCTACTGGGAAGATATTAAAGCCGATATGAATGGCGTTTACAGCGGCGTCCTTCGTTGTGCTGTGTGGACAATTGAATGGCGCGACGGTTTGTGGTCGTTGTTGGAGAAGAAAAAAGTCCCCTACCTTCCAAGGATGCCTATCATTTAGCTCAGAATTCCAGGAAGAACAAAGTTGCCCCAGCTCTAGCACGTTCAATCTTTTTGTTGAAGGACGTCAAAGGAAACTCAGTTAACAATGTTTGCCTACTTCAGTACCATGTCAGCAACAAAGATGGACGCGTTGAAGATCTGGAGATACAGAAGCACGGCAACAGTCAATGGACAAACCCTAAACCATTCTACCCACTTAAGAAGAGCATGCTATCATCGATTAAAGATAATGTAATCAAGAAAGGTTCTCACGGGTTTTATGACGACCTGAGGAAGAAGGCTGGTGGAGCTTTTGGCGCTTCCTCCGTCTCTGAACTACCACACGGGAAACAGCAGATTTATAGCGCCAAGTCCAGGATAACATGCACTAACACAGAGGACGACGTCAAAGAGCTATTGAAGTACGCACGCGACAAGGGTGACCTGCTTCTACACCACGGAATCCATGAATAACGTCATGCGAGCTGCATAAGAAACGTACCTAAAGGGAAATCCATGTGTATCACAGCTGAACAAGTTCCAGTTTACGAAGAATGTGTTCGAGGTTGTGTATGCCCACCAGATGGAAGAGCTACACTCAGCAATCGCAGGGCTGAGTGATGATTACATCCTCGCGGACCATGCAAGTTATTTGCAGATATCTGGTTTGAGTGGACGCCAAAGATGAGGGAAACGTACGTTCTGGGGGTTCAAAAGCTGTCCCTGCAAGATGTATACAACCAGAAAGATGTGCCGTGGCCGGAGTTGGAAACCATTGATATTGACGCAGAATTTAGGCCCATAGGAGATGACATCGTAACCGAACTGGTCAACCGTCATGGCTATTCTAACAAAAGTGCAAAAACATTAGAAAAAGAAGTTCTTTATCTACTGAACCACCCCACTGCCATCCAGAGAAAAGCAAGTCTGCAAACCGAGGGAGTAGTTCAATTTGAAGTTGCAAGTACAGGGGCCAAGAATGGAACAGTTCAGGTCTCTGTTTACAGGGATCATGCAACTTGTGTTTGTGGAAGGTATTAGTATGATAAAATCTGCAAGCACTCCCTAGCAGTAGCCGCCTCCAAAGCAATTCTGACGGAACATCTAAATTTCGTCAGTAGTAAATCAGGTCAAGTTCGTAAAAGAACAGCTCTTGCAGAGCACGATGTCCAAAAAGCAACGGCGGGAAAGAAGGGTGGAAGGAACAAGTATAGCTATCGACCTGCGAGGGGCAAGGCCCAGCCAAGCTCGAGTGCATCTGCGCAAACAGGGCCTTTGTACTCCGAGATACACCATAAATCCATTTGAGTTGGTGTTTCTCGTGGAAAGTGTGAAGAGGTGCAAATCGTGTCATCTCGATTTTTGTCATAGAAAGAAGGTCATTCCGTTCGATGTAATCTTCTCTCACAAAGAGCGATGGATGTATCCCATCAATGGAGATTGGTCGAATTGCAGGCCATCTCAACGGGAGACAGTCCGATATTATCATGCCTCGATGAAGTGCCTGCTAACAAGATTTCCATACTTCACTACCAATTACATTAGCATTTCCAGTGACGTCAAAGAAAGTCTTCGAGACTTTATCTTACAAACGAGTTTGGGCTAACCTTCGATTAAATTTTCCTTTTTATCTAGGGTAGGTCCCACTGTATATGCATCGGGGTTGAGCACATCCAAGCAAACAAAGATTGATTGATAGTTTGCATGTGCATGTTCACTATAGTCATAGTAAACATTCCACGGGTAATCTTGTACTTTTTATATGATTGGAATGTATTGTGTCGCCAGCTGTTGCGGTGTCACCGGTTATGTGAGTTTATATTGAAAGACGATGACTACAAATTTTAATTTTGATTAGTTTGAGTCGAGTATTGTATGAAAGTTATTATTGACTCTGAGCTCTTTTCTACAAAACGAAGACCCCCTTCATTTCGCGTCAATTGGCATCTGACAAAGCGTTTAAGTAAGGGTCTTCGTTTTGTAGATTCAGGGGGTCTTTTCTGCAAAACGAAGACCCCCTTGATTTCGCGTCTATTGGTGTCTGACAAAGCGTTTAAGTAAGGGTCTTCGTTTTGTAGATTCAGGGGGGCTTTTCTGCAAAACGAAGACCCCCTTGATTTTGCGTCAATTGGGGTCTGACAAAGTGTTTTTGTCAAAAAGTTGGTGATCCATCACAACCGAAGCTGCTTTCTGACACAATCGGGCCTATTTTTTGACTGATACACTGAAACGTTTGAACTGTTTTAGCTGCCCCCACAAAAAAAAAACAACAACAACAATATGTGCTTTCTATCACCTATCCTAAGACTAAATCATTTTGCTATTAGGTCACAGCCAAGTCTTTAAAATTGTCGCATCATCACGCTATGCTACTGAACGGCATAAATTATCAACCATGACGTTAGTTCAAATATTTATTTCACTCCCTTTGCCTTTTTGAGAATAAGTAAAATTGCCAGGCTAATAGCCAATGTTGCTGCTGCCACTACAAATTGTGAATGCTACTATCTCTAGTAACCTTCCTAGTATTAAGCAGAGTACTGAATATTTCCTACATGCTGTAAAATTACTACATAATGGGAAGCTTAAGATCAGCTACAAATTGTGAAATACCTCGTGTTACAAAAATACTTTAATGCTGTACAAGTCCTGCACCCCCTAAGCTGGCCTCCTTTGCGATTTAAAACCGCATCAGTCTAGACAACTGATATACCCCTTTTTGTCGCGCGCGGTTGAAATCGGCAACGTATAATAGATTCTTCCACCCCAGGGGTCTGGCAAAGCATTTTAGCAAGGGTCTTCGTTTTGTAGATTTAGGGGGGTTTTTCTACAAAACGAAGACCCCTGTTAATTTCACATCGGTTTGTGCTGAGGAACGCTTTGGGTTAGTTTTTTATCTGTCCGTGCCTTATTCGGGCAAAAAAATTAGGGTCTTCGTTTTTCGGTCTTCGTTTTGTAGACACCCCCACATAAGCCGCACCTTTTTGCCGAAGTTTTGAGTCAAAAATCGCGGGTGCGGCTTATACACGAGACCATTACTCTCAAAGGGAGTAAACTGGCTTGTAGGGGTCACAAATTGAACTGAAAACCTTCAGTAAATAAAGATTAAACATATTGAAACCTGTCGTTGATCATTGCTTTCAGTAGAAGTGGTGGCTCCTAAAGGAGCCGTTTGTTTGCATCTTCAGGTTCTATACCTGAATCTTGCTCGCCAGTAGTTCTTTTAAGCGTTTCATCTGCGCTTTGTCTGAGCAGTTAAACTCTAACTGGCAGAGAATCTCCATTCCTCTGCAAAGCTGCTTAGTGTCGTCTGTGACCGATCACTTCAACGCTGATTTCCCCACTACGTGCAAGAAAATACCACGCTATTTGAGAGAATTCGCGAGGCAAATGGCCAACCGTTTCGTCATCCTTCACTACTTTCATGGCGTGTTTGTCCATTGGGTTGTTAAACTAACCCGTTTTTATTTTATTCGCAAATTTGTCCCATAACTGTTAAATATCGCAAAAACTTGAGCTAAGAAAACACAGTTGTCCATCCATCCGTAACTTGTGCATGCCTTAGCCTATTGTCTGCTAATTGTCTTGTTTAAACCAATCAGCTTTTGCTATGTTTGATCCGTGCGATCGGCACGCGAGTTTAAATAAATGTGACACATGCTTTCATTCTGTCAATTAAGCTTAAGTAGCATCATGGCAGAGAGGGGTTCTCCCAGAGCATCATATACTGCGTCTTTTAAAACTCAGAGTTGTTGCTTATGCTGTTGACAAAGGAAACCGTGCTGCTGGAAAGCAGTTTAATGTCGATGAAAGCTGTGTGCGTCGTTGGTGATCACAGCGAGAAAAGCTGCTTAAAACACCCCGCAACAAGTGTGCTCAAGGAGGTCGCTCTGCTGCATTTCCGGAGCTCGAGAAGGAAGTCGCTGAGTGGATCACCGAGAAGCGCAAAGCTGGTACTGGCATGTCCACAAACAAGCTGGGATTGTCCGAACAATTTAAGGCCTCTAAATGCTGGTGCTACCGCTTCATGGATCGATTTGGCTTCTCCATCAGAAGGCGAAAGACAATTGCTCAAAAACTTCCACAAGACTACGAGGAAAAGTTAATCAAGTTTCAGCGTTACGTGTTGGCTAAACGGAAGGAACATGACTTTGACCTTAAATACATTGGTAATGCCGATCAGACCCAGCTTACGCTTGACATTGTAACGAACAGTACAGTATCAGACAGAGGAGTCAAGAGCATCCCTATCATGAGCTCAGGTCATGACAAGGACAGGTTTACCGTGATGCTTGCCTGCCTTGGCGATGGTACCAAACTGCCACCGTTTGTTGTGTTTAAACGGAAAACACTTCAAAAGAACTTGAACTTTCCGAAAGAAGTTGTTGTCAGGTGCCAGGCAAAGGGCATGGATGAACCGCTCGTGCAGGACTGGTTACAGACTGTTTGGAGCAAAGTTGGTGGCCTCAGCCGGCGAAAGTCAATGCTTGTCTGGGATTCGTTCAGGGCCCACTTATCCAAACCAGTTCTCAGTACCTTGAGGTCCATCAATACAGAGTGCGTTGTGATTCCTTGTGACATGACCAGCATGCTTCAGCCTTTGGATGTGTCCATTAACAAGCCCTTCAAGGACCACATACGGGCAAAGTGGCAAGACTAGATGTTGGCTGGACAACACAGCTTTACTGCCAGGGGTCGCATTCGCAAGGTCGGGCTTGACGAGATCTGCAGATGAATCAGTGACGCCTGGGACGACATACCACCAGAGATGATCGCCAAGTCGTTTCGCAAATGCTGTATCACCAACGCATTGGATGGCACAAAAGACGAAGAAATCTGGGAAGAGGAGTCGGAATCAGATCCATTTGAAGATCTTGATGAAGTAGATGGTGACGACCAGCTGTATTATGCTGATCACTTCGAACGACAACTGGCAGAAATTGACCCTGAATGCTTTGAGAACATTTTTGGTGAAAGCAATGGCGAGGACTTTTATGGTTTCTAAGCAACTACAACAGTTGTTGAACATTGAACACTGGTCGATAGAATGAACTTTAACAGTATATTAATGCTCATGTAAATAGTTTTTGCTTTTCTTGTGAAAATGATACCGAACCATGTTGTACAAGATTTCACTTTGAACAAAGATTGATGAGCCGTACTTTCAAACATTGTACAATGTAAATAGTTTTTTGCTTAAACAAGGAATTTCGTTTTCTAATATCAAGCTATCTGTACCTGTTACTTGTAAATATATTATTCAGTTTTGTAAAATACAGTCTTCACAAGTCCAGCATTTGTTTACTTGTCTCCTTCTCTGGTGTCCAGACTTCCCTTGCCAAATAGACGCGTGGTTACTAAGCAAACGTTTTGTAGCATTCTCCAGCGCTTTATTTTCGTTCCATCGTTCCATTTTCATTTCAACTGTGGGCTTTAGCAATGAAGAGAACTGTTGTCTTTCGCAGGAAATGGGGAAATTGATTAAAGAGAACCTTTTAAAAGGTATTTCCAGAGTTGATTAACTTATTTAAAACGTCACTGCAAATATACAACATTAAATTTCCTCAAGTTTATTTGTGAACATTTTGATGCACGAACAAACGATCACCTTTTTTACAAAAGCGCATTTTTGGTTTTTTTTTTTCAAAATCATGCTTGAAAGTTGGGGGTGCGGCTTATACACGAGTGCGGCTTATACACGAGTTTTTACAGTATGTGACAGTTGTGCACAATGCCGTTGCTGGCGCATAAGTAATCAGACTACATTGTAATAAAAGTTATTAACAGTGTGCTTATGAAGGACTTGCTTTACGCGCTACCTGATACAAAAACACGAAACACAATCAGGGATAAAAATTGGGAACATATTGTCCAACTACATGCCACTGGCAGCACAAATTCTGGGGGCTAGAGGTGTAAATTACTGAGTAAAATTGTGATCAATACATTTTGAAAGAGCAAGTATTGAGCTGAATACAGAACAATCATCGATCCTTGTGAAAAACCTTTACAACAATTGTGCAATAATTAGGGCTCTAATACATATATTTTATCATTAACTGTAACCAGTATTTTGCTCACTTCCATTTTTACAATATTGATGTCTTGAACTAACACTTATAAGGAGATCTCAAGTATTTCATAACACTAGACAGTTTAACAACATTTACGTCTAATATATTGGTCTACTATTGCCTTAGTAACAAATAATGATATTACCATTTTCTAATTGGAGGGGGGAGGGGGGAGGGGGGAGTGGTTAACTGTAGGGAAGCTTTAAAGTATCTACCAGTTGTTTTTTCAGCAAATTTCATCACGGATATTGCAGTATAAACATGCATCAAGTTATCGATTTAACCATGAAAGCATTTTGGTAAAGGAGAGTGACTCAGGCATAAAACACACTTCATCCATAAAGCAAAGTTTCCCCTGTGATTTGGCAGGACCAAGAGAGCCAGAAACCCTAAAGTACAATTCCTCCTCAGAGGAAGAAAAAAGAAAGTCAAAGAAATCTCTTTCAGCGATTCAATTGGAAGCATTTTTAGTGAAATTAAAAGTTTGATTACAGAAGCCAGATAGGGTTGTTGTTGGCCACACTAAAAACAAAACAGAATTTTTCCTTAGTGGTGATTATAAATGCTAGGTTTAAATGGAGCAACAGCTCACTTTGCATGTGCATGATTTAAAATCCACAAGGTTGATAGATGGAAAACAGATCAACATTTTAGTTATTTAAATTAAAAGCCACTTTCAAGGTCTTTACAGGAAATTAAAGAAACATCCAAAAAATCAAAGGATGGCTGCTGTAAGGAACCCCTTCTGGACATTAAATTGGACCATATAATTGTGGATGAACTTCACCTCCTTTTAAGAATAGTTGATTTGTTAACTGCCAATTCAACAACAGAAATTATTGATTAGGATGTTGAGAAGAGTGTTGAAAACACCAGCTGCAAACAAGTACACATAAATAAGTTGATTAATAGCATTAGGTCTAGTGGAGTGTCTTTTGATGTCGGAAAAAAAAAAACCAATGGCTAAGAGAGTTCCATTGATGACTGGACAAGTCTCATGGGGAATGATAAGAAAATACTCCTGTATCACTGTCCAGAGAAAATTAATGATTTCTTGAGGCCTAGAACTGCTGACAAGATCAAAAATATGGGTGGACTTTGCAACACTGTACAAAAGTCTCAGTAACTGGCGACTGAATACCAGCCCCACAGGGTTTTGGCTGAAAGCAAAACAATGTGTAAAAAGTCTGCGGTGAGTTTCTCTGGGGGCATCCTTAGAGGATTTGCCAGAGTACCATTTTCAACAGCAGAAAATTTAGGTGACCATGACAAATTCAGGCGCACTTTTATAGGAAGTCTAATCCTGGCACCATTTCCATTTTCTTCAAAGCACTGATCCTATAGATTGTGAAAATTTCACTGTTCAAAGGCCTGCTTCTCTAGCATGATAGATTTGCCACTTCTGCTAGTTCAGCCTTTCCCCTGAAATAGGAACCAGTAACATTCATGGTGGAAAAACAGAGTCGACGGTCCTCTTTATTCACTTATTAATTTGTATGTAATTGCCAAGAGTAGGAGAGCTATATTTTCCCGGAGACGAGCTTGTGGGATCACTGGTGTTTCAAATGTCTTGAATTAAAACATAGCTGTGTAAGCCTTTTTTTTTGCCTGATGGAAATTCTTTAGAATCTCATCAAAAATATTACATAAGGTGGCATTCTTACACAACAAACATTGAACTTCCCTACACTAAACTGACTAAAATTAATTTCATATCCATTGTCATTTTCTTGATAGTACGTCACACCCTAAGGCGTACAAGCTTCTTTGTTAAAAAAGAACCTAGAGCAGTTCAATGAACACTGCAAAAAAAAAAAAAAGCCATCTCCTGGACTTTATTTAGTGGTAAAAAATATTCCCACATAATTTTTTTTATTTAAGGTGGCATTCTGCTCAAGAAATTAGGAAAAAAAATTGATTTTTTCCCAATTCTGTTCTTTTGCTTCTTGCGGTAGTTAAATCTATCTACTTCAATGTCCTGAATTTAATTTTTCCTACTCCAGTTTGTGAGTCAGTAAAAATGAGACCTTCCTTAGCTGTTTTCTTCTGTTTCCATGGCAACAAAACCAAAATTCCTTGATTTTTTTCATTAATACGTTATAGCCAGTCTAAACACATTCCTACGGTCTAGTGTGACCAGAATCCATTCCACTAGTTTAGCTTTTCAGATCTAAGCAAGGCTTTTATGCAGTTAAATTTGTGACAATAGGTTTTCACGCACCTTAACTGGACTTTCGCGGAATTTACAAAACGAGGGGAATTAACTCAGTAGAGACCACTCGACTAACGAGAACGGAAACTCGTCACGATTTCCTGGCACATGGAGATCTGCTTCGAGTGAGCTTGTACGGATGTCAAGGAAGAGACAGCGTTTTTTGGTTCCACAGTAGACTTTTATTCATAGAACGCTCTAACATACCTCATGCTAGAGTCAAAACTAAAACTGTAATCATCATGCCGTCATGTATGTAATCAGTATGCTGTTGTGGATGTAATCAAAAAAGCTCAACAAAGTACTTGCTTAAATATGAACTGGTGTGAGGGTCCATTGTTACACAAATCACAATATTTGAATAAGGACACAAAGGAGCGGAAAAAAGTCTCTGAAGTTAAACGAAAACTACTTAAATATTCCATCTGCTTCTACGACAAAAATAATCTCAAAATTAAAAGGACAATACAATAAACTCGAGGGCCATTAAAAATAGGAAACTTAGTTGAGAATTCACAGCTCTGATATAGAACATATACCTATCTAAATTACAGTAGAGCAGCTCAGGAAATAAAAACAGAAAAGAACTAAAAAGTTTCTGCTTACCTCTGCAAGGTTGGTGTGGAAACTATCGTATGAAAAGAAATTAAAGTTACAAGTGTAAACTCAGCTGCTAACTACCATGGAAACCAATTTTTCCAGAAAGACCATTAACACTTATATTCAACTAAAAATTCCACTAGTAATGACCAACAAAAGTGTCGACATGCAGGTGCATAATGAAGGCAAGTTACAAGCAAAATTTATTCCAAAAGCTAATGTGGTTTTTTTTTTTTGGACTTACTAGGATGAAAGAACTTGTATGAACTCAAACAAATTGAATATGGTTAAATGTGTAAGTTTACCAATAAATATTTCTAACAAACACGGAAAAATCAGTAAATTTTCCCGTAACAAATTATTCTCTTGGCTGTTTTGGCAAACTTTTATTTTTTTTCAACATCTTCAAATTACAATGCCTATGCCAAAAGAAGGACACAAGCAAGCTGTTTTAAGGAAAAATGTTTTGAAAAAGTGAAAAGGTAGTTTAAGAGGCACTTCAAGCGGTATGAAAAAGCACCAAATTTGAGAAAAACAGCCAAGAGTGGGAATTACATTTGTTAGTGAGGACAACGTGGTGAGCAAGCAAATTTCACTGCCAGCTGTACCAGCATCTTCATGAAAGATTCAAGTTTTTGAAACTGAGAGCTCCTCAGAGGAGAATTCTTATGTTGGACTGGAATCAGCACATGGTCATTGTCTTTTAAGCATGGATATTTTACAAAAATTTTGTAACAAAGTGCATTCACACTCTTCATGCTCATCAGATGAGTCTAAAGTTATTATCACAAAAGTTTTATTCTATCTTAAATCTATCTGCACGCGTATCATTTCAGCTGCAAACTGCCCTACTTGTTAACCATATCATGAAATTTCTTATCTGGATATTTGGTTTTGGTCCTCTTAGGCCATGTTGTGTCAGAAGAAGACTCAACCAGCAGATATGGATTAAGCAGTTCAATCTATGCCAAGTGTTGTTTATGTGGTGATGCCACATCACCAAATACAAAACATGGAAAAGACATAAATTGAAGAGTTGTTTTTGGTGCTTTTAAAATGGGTTTAGGAAGGGAAGGCATAGCCAAACTCTGTGAAGTTCTGAATATGCCTTTCTGCATTTCTACTGATACCTAGTATGAACACCAGGATGTCCTCTTGGCAGCCCACACCAAAGCCGTCCAAGAAGAACTGGAAAAAAAATAGAGCTGAAGCTAGAAAACTTGCATTTCTAGAGATGAACAAAGAAGACACTTATGAGAATGCAGTAGCTGAAATACCAGTAACCTTTGAAGGCACTTGGTCAAGGCAAGGCTATTCTGCCAATCACTGCACAAGCTTTGTAATATTGGCAGCTTCTGGTAAAGTGCTTGACTTTGAAGTTATTTCTGAAGTCTGCAATCAATGTAACCAGAAGAAGGTAAGTTGTTCACAAGAGGAGTTTGAGGAGTGGTTACAGACTCATGACTGTCAAGGTAGCTATGGTGGCTCAAGCTCAAGTATGGAAATGGAGTGCGCCAAGCAATTATGGCGAAGAAGTGCACAGTATTGCCTAATGTACACCCCCGTTGATTGAAATTTCTAACAGTTGCAGCTTATCTGTGGTAAGAATTCTCCATTTAAAGTACACGCAAAGAATCTGAAAAGAATCATTTAAAAATGGCTAAACTCCCAAAATGAGGTCTGATAACAAGAACAAAAGTGACCGTTTTACTCTCGAGGCAATAGGGAAGGAATGGAAGGGGGGTAAGAAGAACTTGGGGCTGCCTGAAATTTCATTTGATCAATCACTTGTACCTGGTTCTTACTTCATACAACCCCCTGCACACTTAGAAGCTACATTGTCAGTCAATAATGGAGTTTATCACATCTTTGCTTTTGCTAGTGAATTAAAACTTAATTTTTAGAGTTCATCTGCAAACCAAGTCACACAAGCAGCTTCTGTTCTGAGAAGAGAATACAAGGTTCTGACTGATAGTTAATGCTGATAGTTCCACTGTTAGTGCAGCTGGTCCTAGTACTACTAGCACTAGTAATTCCACAGCCACTACAGGCTATAGCCAAGCAACAGCAGTTCAAGAACACCATCCACTGTTTACCCAACAAAGGGTATGCAAATTTTTAACAAATGAGTAGTTAATCTGGAAACTTAACTTTCTCCTAGCTCTCCAAAATTTGTATTGGTTGTCATCTTCTTGTTATTTACCAGTTGTAAACTCACTTGACCAATAATGTGGTTAAGGGAAACTCTTTCTGAACTTAGCTAGTTGTGTTGTATGCAATACTCTGTACCTTTATTATTGATTTCAGAGAATTCAACAATACAGTGTATGCAGTGGCACGCAAGTAGTGACAGAAACACAATGTGAAAGGTAATTTGGATTGAATTGGAACAAATCCTGTTCCTAAATTTTCCCAAATGTTCACAATGTGTTATTTTTTTTTTAGTGGCCTACTCACAAGACGTTCTGAGAGTAAAGGATTGGTGTTACCAATCAATGAAGAACAGTGAACCACCACATACACTTGAAGCTGATATAACAACAGCCTCAAAGATTTTAAAAGGCCGATGTTCCTGTGTTGCTGGTGCTGGAGGATTCTACTATCACATCATAGTGTTGCTCTTCTATCTGTCTCACTGTAAACAATCTGGTCTTAAGGCAATACCTGACGATCTCACACGTACTAGCCTGCCAAAGAGATGGAGCATACCACGTGAGAGAAAGATCCAAAACAAAGTCATTCAGAACATATGGGTGAAAAAGCCTCAGCTAGGTACTAACTACTCTAACTAACTAACTACTCTAAACTTATCAAAACCACTTTATATTCACCAATAATGATCTTGGAACATTTACATGATCTTAAGCCCTAGCCATTGATGACAACTTTGGCACCAAAGAAGGACGTAAGCAGATCTTATGAAATGGTAGCGTGCAAATTTGGAAATGTCCTGAAAGGGTCAGTTCTATCGTACCAACAAAAGCTATCTGAAAAATATGTCATAGATGACTTTTCACGCCCCCTCTACCCAACTTTGCTAATGAAAAACAAGCAGCCCTGGAACTTCACACTTATCCCAAGAAAAAGCTGTGCAATTAGAGCATGCAATACTTTCACAATCTGACAGCCAGCTTTGGTACTCACTGAATAAAGGGGTAAGTTTCTAAAGAAACTGTGGTGCTGCGTCGGTGGGAGAGTATAGCAGGTAATTTAGTGTTAACAACTGGGTTGAAAACGTAAATTAGCCACCGTAAAGGGTAAAAAAGCTGACGTTTCGAGCGTTAGCCCTTTGTATCGCTCTACAAAGGGCTAACGATCGAAACGTCAGCTTTTTTACCCTTTAGGGTGGCTAATTTACGTTTTCAACCCAGTTGTTAACACTAAATTACCTTTGGTACTCACTGCCTGCTGAAAGAATAACTGCTAGTAAATTTGGACATGTTTCCAAACGTTTATCTGGGTTTGAAAATCCTGTCAAGCAATTGTACCCAACCAGGAGAGTTGTAATTGCAGACATGTAACATGGTATTGACATGGAACCGACTGCAGTTATTGCCTATGCCAATATTACCAAGCAAGGAAAAATTAATCTGTTTCCCTCTGGACTTATTATTGATCCAGTTTGTCCCTAGCTTGGCTGTACACTGGACTGTAAGGTGTATGACATGGAAGCCAAAGAAGAAGGCCTAGTACCCTATGGTCTGTTGGAATTTAAAGTTGTAGAAGAAGGTTTTGTGGACTTCAGAAATGTTCAAATATTTATCAACCAATCCTGATAATGAGCTAGAACTCAAGAAATACCGCAAATATTACTACCAAGTGCAATGTCAGTTGGCATTATCATGCTTAGAAAGGTGTGACATTTTTAGCTACATAAATGATTCTTTATACCATTGTGTAAGAGTTCTTTTTGATCAAGAATTTTTTGAAAAAGCTAAGGACAGGGTTGATCTCTTCTATTTTAATTTCTATTTAACCTAGAGATATTTGTTCATGTTTATCTTTTAATCATACCTTAACAACATATTAGCTCAAACTGCATTTATAGAGACTGATAGAGTGATAGCACTGCTCTGGAAACACTGGTATTTATTGACACGTATTTAAATCTACACAACCTAACCCATTTCTATAAACAGTTCATTCAGTCTATATGCAACTTGAATTCTTTCTGCTAATATATCATCTGATGAATCTGATTGACCATTCACAGTGCTCTTTACAAGACCACCTTGAAAGTTTGTTGGCAAACAAATAACAATGTAAATTTGATTTATAGACCCAAGCATGTTTAAAGGGTGCACATGAATAAAAAATGATACTCCTTTATTTGTCTGATAGCTCGCTTAACACGAATGCGTAGTTTTGCAATGCTCTTAGTATTCTTTGCCTCTGTTAGGCCATCCCAATTCAATGTTTCGTTTCCCATCGCCCTCCCTATCGTGAGGGTGGGTCGGCCGGTCGGGAAGGGAACGAACACTTGAAAGGGCCTGGGTGCCAGGGAAAGCCGGGCTGCTAAGTACGAAAGCTTGGTTACAGAGTCAACTCGAAAACGTGGTTCCTTCGTTCGATATTCTTTATCTAGAGTGGCAGACAGTAACTCATGTGCGCTTGTGATAAGATTACGAAAAGAGAAGAGAGTTGTGGCCTTACCTAAGGTAAAGTTCGTTGACAAGAACTTGTCATTTCAAGAAGTGTTTACCGATGTGTATGATGGAGATTTAGATGTACGTGTCAAATGCAGAGTGGGATTTAAGAAGCCTGGAGATGCAGAACCAAAAGATTTCGTTTCGGTTGATCTCGCAGAAAACGTTGGAGCGATTGTTAATGCCCTCAGTGCGAACTTTGTAGATTTTGATGCTCTAGACGAAAAACCACAGGCAAAAGCTGTCAAGCCATTGAATGCTTTCGACGTTCTGATGAAAGCCGCGAGCACAAAGATACTTCCGCCGGAAATAGGAGCAGAGGAGCAAGCAAATCCTACGCAGTGGGTGGAACTGCATAACCGTCTTCTGCAGCTTGCAAAAATCCTATACCCTGGTGCAGATTTTCCTCCTGCAGAGGTGAAATCTTCAGGTGCATGTCCATTTTGGAATGTTGGTTTTTCCTCTTTTAATCTATACAATAGTATACAATTATTATTAAAAATTATTAAATGTATTAAAAAACAAATACTCCATCGGAAGTCTTCAAAGCGAAACAGTTTTGTTAGAATTTCAGTGAATGCACACTGATTTGATGCCTCTCTCTTCTAAAATTTCTTGAACAGTATAAATAGATATATTATTTTTCCTGTTTCTTTTATCATGATGCATTTAACTGTCATATCCACAAAAATGGCGCACAATGTTGCGGGTGTTTGAAGGATTTAATATGTTTCAACTCATACAATTCAAATGTTGTGTCTTGTATATATTTATGTAATACATATAAATATACTAATTTTTACAAAAGGTGTTGCGTTTTTCAAGAAGCTTACCAACATAGCTTGGTACTTGGATCCTCACATTCCAAAATTCATCGAAAGAAGCTTAAAGATGCCAAAACTAATTATGGGGTTACATGATGATATTGATAACGTGGCGTTGGCCGCATCACCCCAGAGTTTCATTGGGTAAGTTTATATTATTATGATTCCCATAATCAGGACCTTATCTTTGATGTTTAAAGTCCAATGAAGAATGTCTTGTTAAATAAAAAATGCTATGAAAATATCTGTATTTAGATACAATGACTGGAGAGGGAAGAAAAAAGCAAGACCTCAGATATTACATGAAGAATTGTCAGAGAAAGTAGCAGAGGTTTATGACATGCTGCAATTTGCGTGGCTTGCAAGGTCTGAGTGGAAAACTTTTAAACAGGTAGGCATTAATAATAGTACGTTGCTTCCACTTAAAAATAGCGTTAGCGGTGAAAATAGATGGCATGACGTAAAACACGTTTATAGGGCTTGTGCTAAACGATAAGTTATTTGTTCTATTCCAGGATCTTGAAGAGATTGGAAATAGTATGAAGAAGTATCATTGTATGTTGGAAAGGAAGAACAAGAAGATAAGTGCAAATCAAATGGGCCTTAATTTACCTCGCAGCCCATTCACAGACACGACTATCACAACTGTCCTTTCAAAAGGTTCAGGGCCAGTTTTAGAGCGCTACAATGACCTTTTCCATGAAATCCAAACTAGACCATATTATGATCCTATTTTTCTCAACGATTTAATTGGAGATGATGCCACGAAAGATGCCCAGTAGACAGAGGAAGAAGAGTGCTTGTGACCGGTCCAGAGTCGACAAGGCCCATGGCGTTAGATCACAACTTCTGCCGCATTCCTGTGACCCCCAGTGAGACTTTAATCCCAGAAATACCCAGCGACCCTGGTGACTCACTTTATCAAGGACAGGTACATGTAGACGTAGTTAATAATACATTATTTGAATGAGCTGCCTCAGTTCCAAAGGCGTTTTAAGTATGGAAGAGAGGTACCAGCAAACACAAATCAATTATTATAGATTAAGTAGTAGTAACTTTTACGTCACAAAAGCTACATTCTTGTCTGTTTAAAAAGTATATCGTTATATCTTTAGATGAAAAAGCTGAGGTACTTAAACAAATCTCAATGGGCAGACAGTTAATGCAATAATTAATTCCCTTTACATTTTTACAGATGTATGTTGCAGTTAAAGATTCAATTTTCCAGCCATCTTCAGCACTCAGACATGCAACAGAAAATTCAAACCTCATCGGTTCTTCAGGGAAGGCAATTGTTGCTAGTATCACTGATAGAGGTCCGAATCATAATGTTCGCCATGGACAGACACAGTTAGCGTCCATCTCAACTTTCCAGAGGCACAATCTAGATATGGTCGTAGGAATCAACACTTGTCCTGGTAACTCGTGGGCAAATCCAACAGAGCGTATGTCTGTATTGAACTTAGCACTTAATGGGGTTTCACTTTCTCGGGAGGAAATGAGTAAAGAGAAGGAGGAATTAATCAAGACTCCCACCAACATGAAGGAGATGCAGGCTGCAGCTGAAAAGAATCCTGATGTAAAAGCGGTCATCAATGACAGCCTGCAGAAGCCGTTGTCTATACTCAACAACCGATTTAGCTGATTGTCTCTGAAAGGTAGCCAGTTTCAGATTTTACCACCTGCCAGTGACGAGCAGATCCACGAGCAGTTTCTTGCAGTTCACGAAATTGACGAGTCCATTAACCCTTTTCCTTCTAAGCCCCGATCTAATCGGGGCAAATGACGTAATGCCAGTTCTGGCTGTTTTTCAACTCAGCGGTCTTCCCCCCCTAAATGTAAACGTGCGCATCGCGTTCTCGGCAAGAAAAGCTTTCATTTGATTCGAAGCACGTGGAAATAGGTAAAAAGCTGCAGTTTTTATGAATTTTTTTCGGCCGAAATATCGTTAAACTTTAAACATGGCGACACGAAACCAAAGGGAAAGGAGAGCGCCTGAAAGATATGGAGTTATTTCGCTTGGAATACCGTTCGACGGCGTAAACTCCGACCTAGAATTGGAAGAAGAAGAAATTGAGCAGGCTGGCGAGTTAGGATCGTCAACAAATCCCGTGTATTCTTCGAGCGAAGACGAACTTGAGGAACCTCGAAGAAAAAGAAGGAGAAGGGGAAGAGAAAGAACTGAAACTTCAAGTGTTCGTCAACATGTGAATTCATCAGAGAGCGATGGAAATGACACTGACTCTTCTTCAAATTTGTTTGCGGAAGACAGCAACGATGAAGACTTTGAGGGCTTTCCAAATCGTACATTTGAGTGGAGAGAACCTGTTGGAGAAATAAATGCCCCACCAGCATGTGTTCAAGCGACAGGCGCAAAAACAGAACTGCCAGAGGATGCATCAGCCGCGGAATTCTTTCAGCTTTTTTTTGACATGGAATTGCTTGAATACATTGTTCGTGAAACAAACAGATTTGCTGAGCAAAGCCAAGTTGAAGCAAAGAAAAGAAACCCGCTTTGGACTAACCCTTTGACTGTGGCTGAATTCAAAGCCTGGCTTGGTTTGCTCGTTGGCATGGGAATCAAACAGTTGCCCCAAGTTTCACATTACTGGTCAAAAGAGTGGGTTTTAGGAGTCCCATCATTTGCATCTGTTATGACAAGAGACAGATTTTTTGTAATTCTGAGGTATCTTCACTTCAGTGACAATTCTAAAATGCCAGCTCGAGGACAACCAGGATTTGACAAGCTGTACAAGGTGAGGCCTCTCTTACTTTCCTTGAAAACACGTTTCAAACAACAGTACAGTCCTCACTGCATTCAGGCAGTTGATGAAGCCATGATTGCTTACAAAGGTAGAACATCTCTAAAACAATACATGCCCCTCAAACCCATCAAAAGGGGGATAAAAGCTTGGGTCCGAGCTGACTCTGTGTCTGGATACATGTGTGACTTCAATATTTATGAGGGAAAGGACGACATACAAGGAAAGAGGCTTGGATATAAAGTTGTAACAAGCTTGTGTGAAGAACTGTATGACAAAAACTATTGGATTTTCTTTGACATTTTTTTACAAGTATCCCTCTCATGGAAGATTTATTAGAAAGACAAACCTTTGCTTGTGGAACTGTGAGGGCACATTCCAAGGGATTACCTCAAGAAATAATACCAAAGAAAGAAGACAAGCTAGCACGAGGGCAGCACTTGTGTCGAGTGAAGGGACGTCTTGTGGCTCTTACTTGGCAGGACAAGAAACCTATACATTTTTTGAGTACAATCAACCCTGCCCCAAAACCCGATGATCAAGTGTTTTGCGAAGCGTAGGAAAAAGGATGGTACTCTTGAAGATGTTCCCTGCCCAGAAGTTGTACAAATGTACAACAAATACATGGGAGCAGTTGATAGAAATGATCAAATGTGTTCTTATTTTACTGTTGGCATTCAAACAAAGAAATGGCCTCCAAGGATTTTTTTCTTTTTGCTGGAGAGAAGTATTGTAAATGCTTTTATTTGTGAATCGGAATCAACAAATCATGATCCCCGCACTCACCTGGAGTTTCGTATTGATCTTATACACAAACCTGTAGAAAATTATCATGGAAGAAAGGATCAAGGAAGGCCTAGAATTAATCCCCTTGAGTCCAGATTTACTGAGAGGCACTTCCCACAACATGTACCCTATAATGAAAAAAGGACGTCAAGGAGGAGAGAGTGTGCAGTGTGCAAAGCTGCTGGGGCGGGTCAAGCGATGCTCATTTATGTGCCTGGATTGTAATGTGGGACTTTGTGTGGCCCCATGCTTCAGGAATTATCACACAAAATAAAACTGGAACATTTTGATTGAGTTTATCTGCAAATGACAATTTCTAGTTCACTTAGTAACAGTCCTCGAGTCAGTGAAAATTTGCATATCTTATAAGCCTACTTTCTGGGACAAAATGAGACAGGAATCAGTTCTTGCTAATTTTATTGGTTCCAAAGCTTGTTAATATGCTGTAGATTGTAAAATTGTAAAATATGTTAGTAGCCTATTGAATAATCCTGAAATTGTAAGACAACCAGTTAGTTTTTCATAATTCTAGTGATATATTAATAGGTTCTGAATTGTCAAAAGGTAGCAAATTTTTCAAGCTTTAAGAAAATGTATAGGTCTTAGAGGTTTTCTTGAAAGCTTGCAAGAAACAAAGAGCTTTTCTATAGCAATGTCAAAACGTAAACAAAACCTTCAGAAAAACTCAGAAAGAAAAGGGTTAAAGTGGACGAAACTCTTGAAGAAAGAAAAGCTGCAGGCATGGTATAAGGAACATTGCAGAATACGGCAGTATTCATTTCAAGTAAAGAAATGTTTAGCTGCTCCACCATCTGATCAACATCGAGAGGAAGTGAAGAATGCCATCTACACAAATGGATCCTTAGCTGATCACAGCAAAGTTTTGCTTCAGCGAGCCATTGAACAAGCAGCATCTATTGAAGGGCTCCTTAAACTTAAAGATGCTGATGGCATCAACGTCGACTTCATCCGCGAGGTCATTAGAATGCCTGTTTGTAAGACTTGCCGTCCCCCACGCCTTCCACTCCTCGAGTTTAGACAGTTGACGTGGCTTCCAGACCCTCAGTTTACGGATGCAGCCAAGGAGCATTACAAAGCCTTTGATGACATCTTTGGCCAAGACACCGTAGAGGTTGATCGTCCTGGGGCAAAGACCCAAGAGAACAAGTCTGGGAAGGCTTACTTCACAAAAGAGAAGGTGTATGACACAGTTGAATGTGTGAGCTGTGGCAAGTGGAGGTGCGCGTATGCTCCAACTAAACCGCCTCGTGCAAGCACGGATCAAATCCATCAGGCTGTAGATACCCTTATGTACACTTGCGGAGCTCCAATCCTCCTGGAAGGACATCCTGTAGCAGAAATCTTCATCGTATGCCAGGATATTTCATGCAGTGATCCAGTGGAAAAGCAGTATTATTCATGCAAAAACTTTGACCTGATCTGTTGCAGATGTGGAAGCACAGAACCCGATGCACTAGTGAATGAAGAGATGAAGCGCCAATACAAAGTGGTTAACCCTGTTTGTAAGGCCTGCTTGGAAAAGGGTACCAAGCCTGTTGTCTCCGCCCTGAAAACAGTAACAGCATCCACCGGAAAGAAGAAGAAGAAACCTTGAATGCAACTTCGTGTTAGAACTAAACTTTCATGATCATCAGTCACCCCCATTATGAGATTGAAACTGACAAGCAAGACTGTTAGAAAGTTACTGTTTAATGAAGAAAGCTGTCTTGACGAAATATTCTTTTCCAGCAAACATTCCGTTTGTGTTCCAGTTACTTTTGCATGTTAAATCTCACATTTGGTCTTGAAGATATAATCGGATGGTAACAGATGTATATTAAAACTACTGTCAAATGTCTAAAAAGGCTTTAAAAATGTTGTATCGATGTTAATTTATGACAATTGGTGTAAATACGACAAGATCATGTGCTTGTTAATTAAAGTACTTGCCTCTTTGACTAGTGTATCAAGAATTTTTTTTTTTTACTTTTCCAAAAATATGGGTCGGTCGGGCGATGGGAAACGAAGCATTAAATTAGGATGGCTTTACTGAAAACTGGCCCTTACTTTGGAGATATGGAGGGATATTCAACTTTATTTTCTTTTTATGTAATATATCTTCAATGTCAAACCCCTTGTCTGCCACCACCAAGTTGTTGTCTTCTAAGAGATCTTATAAACCACAGCAACAAGTGATTTCCTTATCTGATATGGAACCTGTGTAAAGTGAGGATACAAATGTAACTGCTCCTTGAGGAGCAATATAAATAAGTCCTTTCAGAGTGGTATTGCTTTTACATGATGAATACAGTTGAGATTGAAGCAATAATGATGATGAGGTCTCCAGACAGAATGTAACTCTGTGCAGTCTATTATCACCCTTATTGTTGGATATAGGTCTTTAAAAGCTTGCAGCATAGATGCATCAATTTCCTCCCTAGAAACCCAGACTGGCTGGGTGCCAAGTAAAAAATACATACAATTTGCCCAGGTGGTTATTTTCCCGCTAACAGATGATGTGCTTATAAAAAAATCTATCTGTAAAATCTTGTGCAAACAGGCCAAGCCTGATTCTACCTAAAAATAAAAACAGCTCATCAATCAAGAGCATATTACGAACAGAGGGCCTCCTGGCTTGCATACCTGCAGAATAAACATATTTCATATGTTGTGCAGAAGGCTCAACAAAATGATAGAAATTTTAAAAATGTTTATAGCTAAGAAATTCAGAATAAAATTTAATACTAACATTGTCAGAAAAGTGCTCATGTCCAAATGGATGTATTTTGAGAGCTGCAATTTGAGCTTTTAGGCTTTCAATCTCCTTCTAGGCTGCTTCATATGCTACTTCCAGTGAAATCTTGCTCTCTGCAACAGGTTCAGTTTCAGCATTGGGGGCATCAACATCAAGCTCAGGGCCATCAAGGATTGCTTCATTTTCGCTTTCAGTTTGACTGCCACCAATAAAAAAAAAAAAAATTTCATCACAATTATTATGATGAATAAATATTACAATAGTTGATGTAAAAAAATAGTCTTTTTAGCAGATCCACAATGATCAAAAATGGTGGCAAATTTGAATAATTACTAGCCTTGTGAATTATGTTTCAACAAGTAACTTTTTTTTTCTGAGGCATTGTTTTTCAACCACCAAATATTATTTCTCACCCACCAAATGCTTGTTTTCAAACTGTAGATTATATTTCTCAGTCACCAACTCACAATTCTCAAACAACAAACTTTATTTCTCAATTGGTGCTCGATAGATTTTTTCACTTTTGACGTGTTTGGCATGCCATATCTTTTGCCAATACTTATTTTGCACTGTTCCCACATACACCGTTTGCTTCCATAGACAGCTTTTGATGTCTTCCTGATCGAGGTAAATTTGCCACGGAACCAGTGAGATGGAACTTTCTAATGATACACGTAGTACTGGCAAAGCTCACTAGTAACCTTTTGTGTTTCAATGCTTTTAGTATTTCAGCTGGGTGGAGGCCTTGCTTGTGGAGGATCTTGATTTTTTTTTTAATAGAGTAATTTGAAACTTTGCCACAATGACTAACAAAAGTAGAGTATGTAAATGATCCCAAACCATTGACACAATTGATACACTGAGTGTTGCCATGGTTATAAACAACTTAGGTCTACCTCTTTGTGCTCCTTTTTGTGCAATTTTCCCAACTTAAACTGTCAATTTTAGTGAAATATGCACCATGCTGTTACCTTTTCTTTTTCAAATTAAGCTTACTTTTGTGAACTACAGCAATCCTCCTTTTTTCCCCATTCTCCCCCCTTTTCTTCCCTTTTTTACCCCCTCATGGTGAACTTTATGCCCCAGTTTGCACAAAAGGAAAGAAAAATATTCCTCCCATTGGAATCTTCTGTAAACCCACAGAAGATAGAAGCCAGGTAGGAGATGAAATCTTATTAGGCAGTTATCAAAACCTCAAAAATACTGAAGGTTAAAAGTTGAAAATGAAACCTGTCACAAAACTAACATTGCAGAGGTCGCTGTGGTCATCCCTAAAAGAAATGTTACAATGCTACAATCTATTTGAACAGAACATTGAAAGTTATGTAGCATAGTGAACATCAACGGGATAGAAGAAATGGGAATGCAGAGGGATAAGACCAATCATGCAAATAAGATACGTAACTGAGTGAACCTCCCAGAAGTAGGAGCTGCAGTTTCCATTACTGACCTAAAAGAAGGGGAAGGAAAAGTGATGGAAGATTAGATTACAACAAAATGGCCAACCAAATGACCAGTGAACAGTCAAATTTATAGTTGCTACTTCTGTTCCTGAAAAATGGATGATGAACTCACTGGCTACATTCACAACATAAATTCAACAACATCTCCTTTGAAAGAAGAGTGTTAAAACCTTGTGGTTCAACATGCAAATTCAAACACAAACAGAAGTTGTGAGAGGGGTATGCTTCTCAGCAGCAAAACATAATGACTTCAAAAGTTCAGTGAGCGGACAAGCCCAATCAAAATCAAGAAATTTAACAATGATACAACAGCAGGTACAAAGAGTGGACTGATGAACTCTAGAATCCAAGTGGAACCACTACCCAAACTCACCTTTAAACCAGTCACAATCACAACAACTGTCAGCATACCATCCATTACCTAAGTACTTATTGTGAGAAAAAAATGCTAACACCATTAATGGGCCCTATGAGTAAGGTGGAAGCAACCCTAAGAGATTCATTTGGTTCTATTCAGATAACTCTCTGGGAACAATATACTAATCAGGTTCAAGGAGGGAAAACTTGCGCCTTCAAGAATGTGAAAGTAAGTAAGAATGGTGTCATATTTCATCAGGATGTGGACTGTAGACATTTCCATCAGAGTATCCAATTCGAGTTCCCTTCTACACTCAGGGCAAGGAAGGCTGCAATTAAAACAGACTGGCATGTCATTGAACCATGGCATGGTACATGGCTCATTTATGAAGACAAGGCAGTCTGAGGAAGATTCTCCAGCTAGAACTTCTGAAGACAGCCGTCATACCCTTTCGAATAATAGCCAGACAGGTATGCTGATTGCTTATTTCAAAGATGATTTAATTCCGTGGGACAAGGAACTAAAAGACAATACCAACAGCCAAAAAGCTATAAGACAATACCACCCTTGTCAGCACAATTTGAGAAAACACAACCACCAAGAAACCTAGCAGTGATCAAATTGAGTTGTCACAGTTTAAGAAGTTAGGTATTTAATTTAGGAATAAAACATCAATGCATTCTTGTAGTAAACACAAAACACAACTCAGACATAGGGTAGTCATGTAAAGTGATATGAAAATATAGCTTCCACTATTGGAATGATGTGATGAATGTAGAGAATTGTTAGACTGTAGGTTTAACATCCATTTTCAGTGAAAACTAAGTTGTCATGTGTGTGCCAAAAGTAAAGTAGAGTCAGGTTATTTCTAACGTTCGGCTGGGGGAATTCCTCCAAAATGACTTGCATACATAAAAATGTATTTAACGTTGTAGATAACAGGAAGTAAACCATTGAAAAGTTTCTTATTTCATTTCAAGCACGACTGTCTTGCAGCTATTAAGAAATCATTTTTCTCTTTGAGAAACTTTTCTGAATACTATTGTCTTTGTCCCATTGCAGAAGCTATCACTGTCTTACTTTTCTGTTTCTTGCATGCTGAGTAAGTTGAATGGCTTTCGTTGCAAAGTATAAATGTAAAGCTATGGCATAACCTAGGTTGTAATCTTTTTCTATATTACAGATGTTTGCGGCTAAGGAAAATAGCAAAGCCTGCACCTCAGGAACTCTGAGTAAATTAACCAGATTTCAAGCTTTTAAAAGGTTTTCCTCACCTATAAAGGCCCAGAAATAAGAAGATAGAAGTTCACGACCAACCAAAACAAACATCTAGTTTCCTGAGTTTGTAGTACATTCCAGATAAGCTAACCATGGAATCATGGAAGGATGAAATGAGGCACATGAAGAAATCTGATCCAAAGAGCTATTGCTGTGCAGAAAGTTACAATATTGTGCAAAAGTAATGCAAACACCTGTCGATGAAATTTCACAAAATTCCTAGCTTTTCAATGAATTCTTGGCCGAAACAAAACTTTGATGACCTTTCCACAAATTTTTGAGGCATGTATTGTTTTGAACAGCTCAAACTTTCAGCAGCATATTCCTTGATGGTGTTAATGCAACTTGAAATTTGAACAAACAATTCATTCTATGGGGCGAATATTCCGGATGAAAATTTGTTGCTATTGTTTTGATAGTCATCATGGCAAAAGTTTCAAATTATTCTAAAAAAAAAAAAATCAAGATCTTCCACATGCAAGGCCTCCATCCAACTGAAATACTGCGTTAAAATAGAGTACTAAAGCAGTTACGTCACGCTTCCATGGCGACCAAATTTCCTGTTCTAAACAAACGCTCGTGAAACAAGATGGCGGTGCTGACAATTGCATCTCTACTTTCTTTCTTCGAAAATGAGAACAAATCCATTTCACGAGGTGAAAATCACTTCAAATCAAGCCATGAGGAAAGCTTTAGAGCAAGTCAAGGTGTTTTGAAGGGACAGGTTCACGCGAGTATGAAAAAAAAAGGATTAAAAAATGGATTAGTGGGTGAAGACCATGTTCTAGAGGCGAAGTGTTCCTATACATTCAGAGATGTAAGTATTGAGGAAGCTTTGAAAAGTGACACATTTTGTTTGGAGAAAGAGAAGATGGATCGTACTCACTAAAAAGGAATCATGTCTTCTGGCACCAAGTGCAAGGGCAAATGTACTTAGCCAAACGAAATTACTGTTACTTTGTTGTTTGGACAAATCACTGGTGTGTAATTATTGAAATCAAGAAGGATCCATCCTGGGAAGAAAACCTTACCAGGCTCAGGGAATTTTACTTTAAACACCTCTTCCCCAAAATTGTTGAGGGAGAACTATAGTTTGTAGAATTATTGCAAGGTTTAAAACCAGCAGGAAGTTTGTACCATGTTCCCGTTAGACAATTTTAATACTGGAACAATAACAAGAACAGCAACCTTCCATGTTCAGTAATGAAAACAAACCCATTATTTTTAAGAATAATCAAATATTCTTGATGTTGTGTTTTCTATAACATTTAAGATTAGAGTTGCATTTGTTTACAGCTGAAAATGCTGGCTTTACTGTATGTGACTTCAGACAAATGCTCTATTATTTTGTTAACATACTATACATTACAAAAATAGAAAATGCACCCTTATTTTCTAAACATAAAGGCCAAATAGATGGGCTAACTCTGACATGTTGGAATTTAAAGTTGATTCTCAAGCTTAAAGAAAACAACAAAAACAATACATCAAGGTTAATTGATTGTCTTAGTCCCCTAAGCATCAAAGCTAATACATATTAATTAAATACTCTCTCAATTTCTCCATTACATGCACATCTTTACTCAAATTCTGCACCTTCACATCCTTCCTTTATCAGTGGAAACTGAAGATTTACAAGGGCAGCACAGGCTTAAAATACTTTGTCAGCATAACATCTTAAGTAGGGGGGTACAAAGTTTAGTATCTTAAAATCCTTCAGCCGTGCATTAGCCCTTTCGACATGAATTCTGCATTTTGCAATGTTTTTAGTAGCCCTGATTTCACTGGCAGTGAATTTTCCATTCAAAAACACCCTTTGGCACAATGTCTTGAATTAAGAACCCCTTGTCTGCAAGGATCAGGTTGACAAAAAAGGTGGTTTACCGATTCCTCGAAAATATGTAATCAACTCTATAGATGAATTGCAAAATGAATTCAGTCTGCACGACATTTGGCGCCTAAAAAACCCAACATTGCAAAGCTTTACCTGGGGGCGTTGTTCACCTTTTATATTTTGCCGACTAGATTACTGGCTAATATCCGATAAATTACATGATTTGGTAACTAAGGTCGATATCATACCCTCGATCAAAACAGACCATTCCGCTATTTTTTTAGAACTTGAAGAAATCGAATCAAGTGGAAGAGGAGCTGGCTTCTGGAAACTAAACACTTCTCTATTGGCAAATGAAAATTATAAACATATGATAACAAACAATTTACCGACCTGGCTGGATGCAGGTAAAGATATACATGATCCCCGACTTTTGTGGGATTGGATCAAGTTTAATATAAGGTCAAACTCCATCATATTCTACAAACAAATAGCTTCCATTCGACGGAAACAAGAAGAGGAATTAAATAAACGTTATCAGGAGGCAGTCCTAATGTTTCACACAAATCCTTGTAACAATACGCGTCTGGCACTAGAAAAATCTAAGCAGGATCTTGAAGCACTGTGCGAGGACAAAGTAGAAGGGATTATACTACGCGCAAGAGCTCGATGGCACGAACACAGTGAAAAGAATAACAAATATTTTTTAAATCTCGAGAAACGCAACCATGTTAAAAAGCATGTAAGAAAGCTGCACATTAGCGGTGTAATTTCTACTGACCCCTTTATGATTATGGATTCACAACGCAAATTTTATAAGAACTTATATCGTAGTAGAAATGTTAATCTAGATAATGCAGAATCATCGATTTTTTTCGATAGTCCAAATTTACCCAGTATTTCACATGATTCAAGAATAATATGTGAGGGTAGAATAACTGCGGAAGAATGCCAGAACGTTCTGAAAACTTTTCCACCTGCAAAAACGCCAGGCAACGACGGGTTACCCATTGAATTTTATAACACCTTCTGGCCATTATTTAGTGATACTTTGATTAATTCATTTAATGAAGCTTTTATGAAGAAGGAAATGTCCCCATCTCAGAGACAGGCAGTGATTACTCTTATTGAGAAACAGGACAAGGATAGGACTTACTTAGAAAATTGGAGGCCAATATCCTTGACTAACGTCGACGCCAAAATTGCGTCCAAAGTTATAGCGACCCGTATTGTCAAAGTTTTACCCGAAATCAATCATAGCAATCAAACTGGGTACGTTTCAGGTCGCTACATAGGGGAAGCCGCAAGATCAATTCTAGATATAATGGATTACACGAAAACTTATGAAATCCCTGGATTGCTACTTTTTATAGATTTTGAGAAAGCTTTTGATAGTCTGGAGTGGAATTTTATGTTCAAATGCTTAGAAGTCTTTGGATTTGGATCCAGTCTTACAAGATGGATAGAAACCTTTTACAGTAACATAACAAGTTGTGTTATCAACAATGGAATGCTCTCAGCTAGCTTTGAAATAAATCGAGGTGTAAGGCAGGGAGACCCCCTTTCTCCTTACTTGTTTATCATTGCTATGGAACTACTAGCAGTCGCTATTCGCTCATGTTCAGAAATAGATGGAATCAAAATAGATGAAAAAGAATTCAAAATGGTACAGTATGCAGATGATTTAACAGCTTTTGTGTCGGATATCAGATCTGCTCAATACCTTTTTAAGTTACTTGATCAATTCCAAAAATGTTCTGGCCTAAAGGTGAATTACACAAAAACCGAAGCAATGTGGATTGGCTCTTCCCGTAATAACATCGAAACACCTCTAGCATTGAAATGGCGTAAAACTGTAAAAGCTTTAGGGGTTCACTTTAGTTACAATAACGAAGAATCAGTGCAAAAGAATTTCTACGATAAGCTCAAAGGAATTAAATCTCAGATA